GGTTTAAAAAGTTAATCAAAGGCTATCAGGTGTGCAGAATCTGGATAATTTTGCAGAAGGAAAATGAGTTGCAGAAGTAAAAAAAATATTGTTTCCTTGCATGAATAGTTACTACCTTTGTGCCCTTAAGAGTAGAAGGAAAAATATGAATAGCACTTCTGACTTGTCCTCATAGTAACTTTTTCTCTGTTTATATGTACATACACAACACTGGCTCATATCACCACAGAAGTGTGCTTGGTACCATGGCCTCAGACATGACACTGCTCTTTGCCCTGCCCTATCTCTGCAGCTCAATGAGCTTTCCAGGGCTTTTATCCTACTGGTGCTGAGCTGCATAGCCCTGTCTAGTTGTGCTGTATCCTTTTCCCCTTGCCATGGGACATGACCAGACCTGTCCTCAAGAAACTTAGATTTTATGGTAGAATTCCTTCTGAAAGTGATAATCACCATTTTCACCTGCACCCGGCTAGGAGTGTATGGAGTCACCCACAATGTCACTTTTTCTGCACTGGGTACAATATTCAGAATGCAGGTCTGTCCCTTCAAGATACAAACAGGATGAGACCAAAGGCTTTTCATCCTTTTCCCATTGTTTTATAATCTTCTCATCCAAAAGCTTTCATGCCTCCTGACACACAAAGAAGTGTTGGGTTAAGTGAACTAACTCAAATGACAGTCAAATGAAGGTTTAAACCAAGGCGTCATCTGCAGTGAGGTTTATTTGCCTTTGAAAATCTCCATTTCTAATGGTTAAAGGCACCACCTTAAGGCTATTTTAATTATTTAGTGCTGTTTTCTTCTTGTGTGGGTCTTTACTTCACTGATGGTGTTCGTGCTTTGGCAGAGAGTGGCTAAGAGCGCCTTTCAGCCCTGTTTCGAAAATTCAGACTTTAAAGGGGTATGGACAGCTATTTATCCTTGCAATTGAAAACATCTAAAACATCTATTTAGCATTTTATAAAGCCATTTTTATGGGGTGAGTTCTCTACGTGCTGCAGAAGGTTACTGCATAATCATAACACCAGAAAGGCTACAAATTTACAACATATTTTAGAAAAATAAAAGACAGATGACAATTAAAAAACTCCCCAAACTCAATAACATGCTTCAAGCAAATGCAACGGGTGGGAAAACCTTCCAAGCTGAAGGGAAAAATGAGGCCATATCTTCAGCTGAGGTGGTGGGGCCCAGATGTGCCAGAAATGCCCCTGAATGAAGAAACCAAAGTCACTTGGTCACATCTCCTTGCTCAAATGGCATCTGATGGACCTGCTTCTATAAATCACATTTCTAACACAGATAGCAACCAAAAGTCCCTCTTCAGTTTCAGGGGATGTGACAAGGTTCAGCCATGAACCATTCCCAGGTTTATTGTGCACAGGGCCATTTCTAAGTCACTTTGACCAAAGCATTTGGGGTCAGCACTTAAGACATCCTGTCTGATGCACAGCTACTAAGCTGTGTAGGAGGATACTTCAGGAGAGCATGGCACTCCTACTTTCCCCTTTCTTATATTTCCTGGAAAACATGATAAATACATGACCGAACCTGCTGGGACATGTCAAATATGCATCTCCACCTCCCCGCTGTGGATTAAGAAGAAAAAGTCATTCACCACTCAACATACTTGGAAAGTCTCTTGTGAATAGAGCAGACACCTCCAGACGTCTCCATCGGTGACGTTATTTATAAGTGGACCAAACAGCTTGTTAGGCTAATTGCTCCTGGAGGGATTTAACTGCATTAAGAAAGCTTGAACAGGGCTCAGCTGTTCCAGAGAATTAGCTGCCACTCCTGCCTTTGATTTACATCCCTCATAAAATTTTATGGCCAGATTAGAATGAACTTCACTTGCACTGTGTTCTTAGTAAAGTTTTTTATGCTGCATAAAAGCAAAAAAAGAATCAATGCTGTAACTAATTATAGCCTTAACCAGGAAAGGAAAATACCTCAAAATAGGGGGGAATGACCCCAAAAGCTCCCCAGAACAGATCCCTGTGGAGGCCCTGCCTCAGACACCTCAGCTTTGAGTCTGAGTATGTTGAGAGAGCAGCAACAGTTAAAATAGCCATGGTTTAAGGAAGAGCACTTTTGAATGGAAAAAGACTGATGTGGCTTTTTATGGTAACCAAAAGGGAGTGTGAAGCAGTCAGGGTTCCAAGTAAATGGGAGAAGGGAGTGGGTGATTATCAGTTGCTTTGTCTGGAATGTCTTTGAGTCATTAGCCTGCTGAGTTTGTTCGTATGGAGGGAAAAGTCTACTTTTGAAATAATTGGTTGCTTTCAGAGATAATTTGTCTATATAGTGCTTTTCCTTCTGTTGTTGATAAATTATGGAAATCCCTGGGCTACACTTTGCTTCACCAACTGTAAAGCTAGGACATAAATCCAAACAGAAAAAAGACTTTTCTTCTTCCTTTCTTTCTGCCAGTGAAATACAATGTCACTGAAAATGGCCTTTATATCTATCCTAACAATCCATGAAAGATTGCAGAAAGGAAGGAGAATAAATAAACCTAGTAAAATATTTACTATTCTAGACATCGGTAGCCAAGGCCAGATTGATGGGAAATGCTTAGTTTGGGGCTGACAGCCTTTAAATGACCTCTTTACAAGTGCCTGAATCTTGAAATTCAACGTGCATGTGAGCTCCATTGGGACGCGTGAGTATTTTGTGCAAGTACTTTGCCGTGTCAGGCGCTGGCCCATTGACAGCAGCAGGAATTACAGGTGTTCAGTTCCTCCCAGATGTGCAAAATGCAGATGCTGGAAAGCAGCTCATCCCAGCAAAACTCCAGCTGCCTCCCTCCATGCCGGATGAGAGCAGATCATATGCTACATTTCACTTCTGGCCAGGACTTACCTCCATTTACTGCTTTTTTTTGCTCAAAATTAATGCTTTTGGGCTGCAGAAGCACTTCCCAAGATGGATTTTTCCACCGAGAAAGGAGCCGCAAGAGAAGGACCACTTCATATGGTCAAAGCATGGGGCTTGGTAGATTTATTTTAAATTAAATAAGTTATTCCATGTGTTCTGGACACAAGCTCACTATAAACTAATTTAAAATCCAAGGAGAAAACCCCTGACAGTCAATTTTTTCAGTCCTTCAAGCTGAAATACCGTACCAGTAGTTCATCACCTGGCAAATAAACCTGCCAGCTCAAAACTTTATATTAATCATTTTCTGTACCCTGCTTGAACTTTTCAAAGCTGAACTCAGGAGTGCTCTAATTCTCAATCCACTGGTACCAAAAGAAACAAGCAGAGGACAAAAGGCGAGCAATGAGTAGCCATCCTCCTCTGCCTCCTCCACTGCAGGAACATGATCTTCACAGACCACGATTTAGGGGAGGTACCTGCCATTTGCCCCACAGCATCTCAAGCTGTAGCCCAGTTTCTATGAGTCAGAAACAGCCAGACCAATACCTTCCTTGATGGGATGGATTTTTAATTTCTGGCCTGGACAGGGGATTTTTTTTAATAGTAATTTCTCAAACTATCATTCCACAGTAATAATTAATATTTTTTTTCATTATCTATATCGACACCTACAAAGACCTTGCTTGACTATGTGCCTGTATTCCTTCTTCTAATGTTTTCATCCTCAAGAAAAAAGAAAAGGAAAGAGATGACAAAACCTCCACAGAATAAAGGAACATATGTTCCTGAGATCATAGCCAAACAAGCCACTTACTTAGTGGGAACAAACTGTGATGTATAACATATTTACTTTTCTAACCTTTCTAAAATTACCTATTTTACTGATTTCTTACGTGTAAAAAGAGGCATAAGGCCTTCCCTTCTGTCAAAGTACTATTGTCTTGAGTAATTTAGAAACTCCCTGTTTCAGTGCATTGAGACTACCAGCACAGAGGCAGATTTAAGGCATCTTTAAGTATTGGCAAGAGTCACAAGAATGTGCTTCTTAATACCACTGTAACTAGAGAATATTTATAGGAGAAGTATTTATAGGGGGAGTCCAGCTAAAACCCAAAGCTCTGAATCAATGACGATCCCACAAGAAGTGCAATCATAAATGTGCTTTGCTTTTACAGCTGATGGTTTGGGGTGCAAGGACAGGCACAACACTTCCACCACAGGTCTGTGCCTTCACTGGGGTTCAGCTCACAGGCACAAATGAAGAACAATGCCATAAATTTGGGGCTAGGAATCTATCTACTGCACAGCTGCAGAAGAGACTGCTGATAAATCAGCCTCTTGCATCGTATCAGGCTGTTGCTTGTATCACCCCAGCCTTGTTCAGTAATGTATCCCAAATTTGAACATGCAGTCATTGCTGTGATATATATAGGCTGAATAATTTTATGTTAATGCGCTTACTCTGTACATAATGCTCTTATAGTAGTAAGAACTATCTTAGAAGGGACAAAGTCTTAAGTCTATTAAATTCTCCTCCAGTGTCAGCCTAAGCAGAGATTATAAATATACATATATGCACCCAGATTTCACTACTTTCTTAAACAGAGTAGAGGTACTATTATGACATTATGATCCCAGCAAATGCATAGCATTACTGCCTGGTATAGAGAACAAGATTCTCCTCTTAACTCTTGTCCAGATCTTCCACTTAACTGATTTTTCTTGACATATTCTTAGAATGTTTAATTTTCAGTACTTGATGGCAAGACATATCTAGGTAGGGAATATGCTTTAGGCTACCTTGGGCCAGCAGCTATCGGTGACTAACATGCATGTTGTGATTAATATGGCATCTAAGTTCAAGCGAATTATGAGAAATTCAGGTCATCTTCTAAATTGGACTACCAGACCTATTTCCTTCAGACAAGGGGAAAATGTGCTTGTACCATTTATTTTGTTGGCCATTAATGCTATTCCTAGAAGACACCTTATTTAAGTGTTCTTTCTCTTACTTCTTCCAGTTCAGTTCTCACAAAGCCACAAGCAAGACTATCAGATCAGTGTAGTTTTCTGTAATAGTTTTTCCCCACATTTTAAAGACTGTAACAACCAGAGAGTTCAGAAAGATACTGATTTTATTTCAAAAACAAGACTGAAAGAACAGAGAGACTGCCAAATCAGGTCTGAGATCCATGTAGCCCAATGTTCTGGTCTTCATTCACAGAGCAGAGCAGCTGGCAGAAAAGACAGAGCATAGAGTGACCGCTCCCAGTGAACTCTTTAAATTGCCTCTAGGCCACCATAGTCAGCCACTACAAGTGCTGCACAACTAAAAAGGCATCTCATTTCCCTCCTAACCTTTTTATACCCTCAACCTCCACAGCATCCGGTGACAGCGAGTTCCACACCCAAAACTGTGCATTCTGCAGTGAATAAATGTTATTTTTGAAAGCTGCTGCTTGTTAACATCACTGGGACAAGCTTGCAAATGCTCAAAGAGGAGAGCCATCAGTTGCACTGCATCAGGAGGAAAGATCAGGTCCTTTGGCTTTTGAACCAAGCTGCAAATTCGGAACCGCCTGGGCAGCTTCATCCCTGTAAGAAGAACAATGATGCTGAGCTGGTGTCCTGCAGTGAGAGGGAAGAAGCTGACACCCACCCTTTAAGTTCTAACACGGTTTTGATTTGGAAGCAGATAGGAGATGGCAATTCTGTCAGCACTGCTAAATTAAGCCTTCCTGGGGCAGGTCTAGAAATGTCCAGGAGTGCCTGGACTTGCAAAAGTTGCCTTTTTCAGTTTTTAGCTCAGACTTTCCATACTGTGTATTTCCTCCACCACACAGATATTGATAGCAGTGAAGGGAGTGGAGCAGGTACCTGGCAGCAGCTACAGGCCATGGTTTTCAAGTTCAACCCCTGGGTGTTTGGCAGTTTAGTGGCTTTTTTTATGTCCTTTAAATTTGTCTGGTGTTCAGAAGAAGCTGATCTCTCATTCTGAAAGTTATCTATGCATTTCCTCTGATAGGCAAGAATTAGTACTTATTTTAAAAAGCAAAATAACTGTAAACAACTAAACTATCTTTTTTTTCCCTGAAAGACTCAATACGGGAAAAGCTCCAGCAAAAGACTGCGGCAATCATGTGACAGAAGAAATAGCACTTCACAGGAAAGCACATACTTTGTCGATATAATCATTTTCCTAGAAGAAGCATTCCCGTATTGGTCTGAATATCTATCTGTTCTGTGCTCTTGTCTGACAAACACTTATGCGAGCAAATTTCACCCTGTAAATAGTTAGCCTGCTCTATGGGGTAGAGGACTCATTATTTTCACAATGCAACAGATTGCCTAAATAAGACAGTCTTCAGAAAGGACTATCTACACACCAACTCACAGACCTATAAGGAGACCTATATAAAATCCTACATAAACCAATACAACAAACAACTAAGTGTGCTCATGGTTTGTCTGCATGTATGAAGTGCTTGCACAACCATTCTTTTCCAAATAATTTATAGTGTTTGCAACTTAATAAACACATTAAGCACTAAATGGACCATATTTCTTTACACCAGACAAAAATCTGTACATTTCTGCTTCAAATACTTATGGAGCTGTAGCCACATAGGTCAATAGAGGAGGATGGGAATTCTTTGCCTCTTCTTCCCTGTCATTATTTTACCTGTAATAAAATTCAACCAAGCCCCAGCCTGGTGTTATTCCATTTAGTTGGAAATCTGCAATGCACTCATGGAAAACGCCACTTCCAGTCAGGCCATTATACACCATGGGGCAAGCCTGCTTGTCCAGTGTTGCAGAAACATCAAAGTACTTGCCACCTTTGATAAAAGAAAAAAAAGCAGAAGAATGTATCCAGCCTTCAGTAGTATTTCATCTCAAAAAATCCCAAGATCTATTACTTTGCATATGGTTTCTTATCATGCTTTTTTTCTAAAGAGCAATAGCTTTCCTTTTCTGCTTTGTAAATGAAGGAAAATCTTGGATAAAGCCATATTTCCAGAGCAGCTGAATCCACCTCATAACATATGTTTTGACACCCCAAAAAAAAGTGAAAATCACATTATTTATCTTGATTAGCAAAAGCAACAGTCACCACAAACGGAAACTGTAACCCTCCCTTATACAGCTGCCTATGGCACTCAACCTGTAGTGGACACACACAGTTTCACTGATGACACACTACACACAGGACTTAAACATAGAATTTCTCAGGATGTAAAATGATGCATTTACTCCAATGATCACATGGAATTTCACTGAATAGTCTTTCCTCCACTAAATTAACTGCACTCCAAAAAGCTACAGGCAGATAAATTTGGGCTGCATTTGCCTTACCAGCCATAAGACTGACACCATATTCATCCTTGATAACACCATCATCAGCCATCTCAGCCAGCGAGGCATTGGACCACTCAATGCCAGCCTTCTTTCCATCAGGGAAAAAGACATAACCTACAGCAAGGCTGAAAGCGAAAGAAATGGAGCAGACTGGAAGTTCAACATAAACTCAAATGGACCAACACATTTGCCTTCCAGGAGAGCCCAATGATAAGCATATACTTCATGCCTGGAAAGTAGCAGCAATAAATAAAAAAGGTCATATTGTGGTGTAGTACAAGTGTAGAGTGGAGGAAGCCTACACATGCAGGAAAGATGAAGCTTGCAGGGTGGATTTTGGTGGGCGGGAGGGACAGGCAGGTTACTTGTTCTTACTTGGTTCCAGGACCATGAACACTGATCTTTAAGGTTCTGGATGCACAGAGCACCAGTCAGCAAGGCAGGGCTCCCGGAGCAATGCCCTACAGATGGACACACTTGAATAGGTGGAATTGCTGAATTTGTATCTCTAAATCTAAGCAGTAAAACAAGCAGCTGCATCAGTCAAACAATAATTAAATGGAAAAGAAGTGATTGAAGGTAAAAGCTGCCCCTGTGACTGACTAATTGCAAATGGAAAATTGGGTGGAGGGAGTGGGGAGCAAGAGCGTGTGGATGGAAATCTGGCTGTGCAGATTCAAAGCAAGAATGTGCATACAGGTGTCCTGCAGAGTGAATTCTGCCTCTTCAAGATGCATATTTTTAGCAGCATATACTTCCTTGGTTACTTACTTAGTTGTGGTATCTGGCAGATTAATAACTGTTAAATGTGCTGCAGTCCCATCCTGTAAGACAGCAATAAAGAAAAAGAAGTCTAATTTGTGTGGGCTTATTTCTGTGTGTCATAAACTCACTTGACCAAGAAGACACTGGATATAACCCAGGTTATACAGTGGCCTCTGACTTTATACTTTTAGATCTTCTCAATACATCTTCGATGAAAATCTGGATGAAAATGAGTCAAAAAAATATAAACCAAGCACATTAAAGCCAAATTAAGGACATTAAGGACAACAGAAGGTCCATAGCAAACAGACTTAAGAGGAGGAGGGAAAAAATAGATGCAAAGATGTCAGCTAGCCATGATCAAACCTGATGGACATCGGCAACTGCAAGCCTACACTGTGCTGTTATATATATGTACAGTATGCGGACTCTAACTTCAGTCATCCATAAACTTTAATTCCATCTTAAAAACCATTCAGATGGCTTCTAAAAAAGAGAGACAAGGCCACAGTAATTTTGAGTTCTGAATAGCTAAGAAGAAAGGCAGAGATTACTACCTGATTATACGCTTCACAGTGCAAAAGCAGTCTTATCAAAAGGTACAAATGCAGGTGTGAAATCACAACAGCTACTGGATCTGCAGAAACGTGTGATTTTCCACAGTGTGCTTTTATGCTAGCCAGCATATATCTGGGAAAAGAACTTTTTATGCTGAATTCAGTTTTAATTCCTGTAATGTTGCTTATAAGAGAGAGTTTAGAACTGTTTACACCTGTGTTGGCAAAGGAAATGCCTTTTCAGGAGCATCTGTTGGGGTTGCATGCCAGCTTGTAGGGCCAGAATTCAGCATTTCCCCAAGCTGTGCACTCCCCAGCAGCCACAGCGATGACTCTCCTCCAGCACAGCCACCATTGCAAAGCAGAGAACTAGAGCACAGTACAGGCAGAAACACTTGCTGACTGCTGTCATGAAGGTTTAGGATGCCTTCAAACACCTCAGGCTCTCAATTAGTGTGAATCAGCACTGCATCAATTCCACTGAGTACTGGGTATTTATGGCAGCTGAGAATCTGTCGTTTGAAGATGCCTATCTAATCTTTCTTCAAAAAGCCCAAACAAACAATTTTAAGTTATTAAAACAAAATGTTGATTCAACCAGTGTACAGAATCTCAGTTTTTACACACACAGCTCTGCTTTTGAGAGCTGCTGCCAATACTGATATGTGCTAATGCTGACAGCATTATCATGTATGCACATAATAGCACCTCTGATTGCACATGTTGGATGCTCCCAGTGCCTAATTTCTGAATACTCAAATGTGACTGACAAGTTCAGAATCACCTCTAATTTCATGGTTAAGTAGCACTTTGACGTTACTACCTACTTCAAAGTGTGCTAAAATCATGACGTAACGGTAAATCTCAGACCAGTTCCTGATACCTGCAAAAAAGAACAAAACCACACAACTTGAAGTGCACCATTACTGGAAAATGTGAACTAGTAGCACCTGACTTGACAGTAACTGTGGATAAAGAAATATCCCATAATTGATAACATGTAATTGATTACATGGTAAGCATATGCATGTACCCACAACAGTAATGGTGTTTCTTCTGAAATGTCTTAACTTCATGAAATTGGTTATTTTTAAAGATCACCTTTAGTCCCACTGTCTTGCCAGTACCATCCATAGTGAGGGAAGCCAAGTGAGTGAATTGTTTGTGGTGCTGTTACCATAAGAGTGGCTCCGGACCCCTTTGAGAAGAACTTTGGTTTTCCCATGATTTTCTATTTCAATTTCTCCAACAGACTGACCCCACTCCTCGTGTCGAAAATGTTGTTCCCTTTGTCTGGAAGAAAGAAAAGACTGAGTCAACACATGCAAAATCAGTAAGTCTCCTCTTCAATCTGCCTCAGTGCCAATCTGGTTGACTTATATACCAAAACAAAGAAAAAAATTCAGAGCATTTGTATCATGGTTATGATATATTTTACACTAGAGCAATCACTTTTAAATTTCCCAGTTATTGCTACATAATGTCTATGAGACACCTGAGAATCAAACAACAGCAAATCCCCACCCTGACAGACTACAAGAATGCTCTTTCTCTGAATGTTGTACTACCAAACAGTTGCTGCTTAGAAGTCAACAGATATCACCAGCAACAATGCACTATTCTATCATAGAATTATACAATCAAAGACTAGTTAGGGTTGGAAAGGACCTTAAGATGATCTGTTTCCACCCCACCGTGCCATGGGCAGGGACACCTCACACTAAAGCATGTCACCCAAGGCCTCATCCAACCTGGTCTTGAACACCACCAGAGATGGAGCATTCACAGCTTCCCTGGGCAACCCATTCCAGTGCCTCACCACCCTCACAGTAAAAAACTTCTTCCTTATATCCAATCTAAACTTCCCGTTTAAGTTTTAACCTGTTACCCCTTGTCCATCACTACAGTCCCTAATGAAGAGTCCCTCCCCAGCATCCCTACAGGCCCCCTTCAGATACTGGAAGGCTGCTATGAGGTCTCCACGCAGCCTTCTCTTCTCCAGGCTGAACAGCCCCAACTTTCTCAGCCTATCTTCATATGGGAGGTGCTTCAGTCCCCTGATCATCCTCGTGGCCCTCCTCTGGACTTGTTCCAACAGTTCCATCTCCTTTTTATGTTGAGGGCACCAGAATTGTACTCCGGTGCTCCAAGTGAGGTCTCACAAGAGTAGAGTAGAGGGGCAGGATCACCTTCTTCAACCTGCTGGTCACGCTCCTTTTGATGTAGCCCAGCATATGGTTGGCTTTCTGCTTGTATGTAAACAACACACTACCAATACTCATGTTTTCTTCCATATTTTCAGGTCTCCAAAGCTTGTATCATAATTAAAACACCCACTTTAGCTCTTCTTCTACACGATTATAGTTAATCCTTTGCTTAGATAAACTTGGACTGATGACTTGTGAAGCAATGTAAATCAGGTTGTTAACAATGAAAAAAAGCCAGAGTAAGAAATATTCCAAATGCTCAAGGTCTTACAGACCAAAACTGTGGGCAGATCCTTCCACCCACATATTAGGAAAACCCTGCCTATGTGCAGGATCCTCCCTTGAGGTTGCCAGGTCTGGTGTAGTAATGAAACCAGAAGACACCTGACAGGAGCCATGTCCTTTATTAGCTCACTTCAGATGAAACCCACCTTCTAAAGTCACCTATAACACATGACAGAGCCTTAAGAGATCTGCAGAAAAATTACTATGAAACCAAGAAGAGATTAATCTTGCCTCTCACTTTTTGACCCTGTGGAAGAACTCTATGGTCCATGGTTCCTGAGCAAAAGCATGTGCAAATGTGCCGGGGTGACTGTCGACATTGAAGTTAAAGACTTCTGTGAAGTTCTCCCAACTAGGAAAAGGAGAGAGGGGGAATAAAAGACATTATTAGCATTCAGGTCACACTAGGCCAAGTTTGCATTTCCTACTCTGACAGTGGCAATCTTGAATTTTCTGATTATTGGAAAATTCTGGTTTACATAGTTTTAAATATGTTTGCAAAAAAAGCAAATGGAAGGAAACCGAGAAGAGCAACAGTCTGCAAGAGTCAACAGATTACCTAGGAAGGGAAGCTGGAAGGGTAGAGCTGCAAGCCAAAGCATGCTGCTTTCTCTCATGTATCTGTTCAGAGGTACAAATGCAGCATCACTCCAGAAATGCTGTGCTACTTTGACAGCAAATCTTTTCTTATCAGACAAATACAGTCCATAAGCAAAAAGAGAAAGCAGAGGCAAATGCTTCACGTGTTACTTTGTGCACATGACCCTCTGAAAACAGTAACCAAATCCCTAACCAGGAACTCGATACACATCCCAGAGCAAATGTGAAACACTCTTACTGGAAAGAGAATTTAACTGGTACAAGTTCGCCATCCTCTTCGCTCCACTGCTGCCTGTAGGGTCCTTTTCTGTAAGAGAAAGTGCTATAAATCTGTATCATTCCTAAACAAACAGCAAAATGTTTCCTAGATGTTTGGAAATGGATGCAATCGGAGACACTGAAGAAGAATAATGCTGTTGTGTGCTAAGGTAGGATAGAAAAGCTACATATTACCCACTGTGTTTTCATTCCATAAAAATCAATGCATGCTTTTTTGTTACCAAACAGCTTCTGGTTCAAGTCAGTTAAATACATTTGCAGCTTTCAAAAAGCCTTGTTCTTAAGTGTGCATAAACAAAACTATAGATTGCTGCAATACCTGAGTAATCCGTCAAAGCTTATTTTCCAGATCGTTTGGGGCTCTAAGTATTCAATAGTGAGCCCTCCTCCACTCCAGATCTCTTCAGATTCATCATTCACCATCATGTTTGGATGTTGTGGGTGCTAAAAAGACATTCCAGGAAAATATTTGATTAATTCTGAGGATGCAACGTGGGTGAATTCCTGCTCTGATGGTCCTCTGCAGGAGGAACTTTTGGTTGAATTCGATTTTCAGTTCTACCTGCTTTCTGATAATTAGATTATCAAACAGGAAAAACTGCATCTGAAATACCAAAGATAACACATTATTGTTTCAGATAAGAAAACTGAATTACTAGTGTGAAGGGAGGGCCCCGCAAGAGCTCAGCTCCTTATGCTAATGGCTGTCAAGCTCATAGCCAAGCTGATGCAGGGCTTTGGAGATATACCTATTTTTAGACTAAATTTGATGAAACTCTAAAATGATTCAAGTTTCCAGTGCATGCAACTTCCCTCCCAAAACTCTCCAGCTGCTCTTTGAAAAATATGTCTTGTTTCCTAAAGCTGTCACTTTTCTAAAAGAGACCTTGTGCCTGTTGCTGTAGGGAAGAATCTATGAAGGTCCTGAACTTGGCTGGCAGTTCTAAGTAACAAAGCTACAAAGTGGCTATCAAAGCTAACAAAGCTATCATTATACTAAATATTACTAGAAAAGAAGATAATTCACATCAATCTCCTATTTTATTTTATTTTATTTTATTTTATTTTATTTTATTTTATTTTAATTATATGATCTGCAAATAAGATGTCTCCTACTTTTTCTGGCCATGGCTACTTGGTGGTGCAAATCTGTGAACATAAAGACAGCTGAGTGTAAAAGGATTTATGTCAGATCTTCCCTCCTTCTTTACTATGAAGTCAGCTATTAACAAAACACACAGAGGCAAAATGATTATACATATATAAAATATTTATATAGATCATATATACATACTGTATATGATTAATACTGTTTTCTTTTTAGCAAGAATGAAGCAGATGTACATATAAAGATTTCCCTAAAAGTCCCTAAAAGCTTTCCTTTCTCTTTTAAAGAGGCAATTCCACAATGTTTTTATAGCATTCACTACTTAAAAGGGGAAAAAACAAATCATAATTGTACAATGCAACTTATTAACCATGTGCCGCATGTTATCAGAAAGACTGAATGCTCGAACTTTTCCTGGGAGGCATACCAAGACATTTTATAGAAAATACGACGTTTTGTGCAAATTACAGGAAAAAGGGAAGGAGTGTCAGTCACCTACTGCAAAAATTAGACTTAGACAGTAATCTTGCCACTTCTACCACTGTCTTTCGCACAGCACTGATGTCTTACTCTTAGGATGTTAATGTAGTGAAGGTGCAGAGAACTCTGTATTTTGCTTGGGATCCTAACATAGGTTTGAGACAGGAGTTGAGCACTACTTTTGAGTGTAACCCCACAGCCAACACTTACTTCAAACTCCCCTATTCCATCCACCCTCAGGAAGAGCCACATCTCGCAGACCCCATCAGGACGTTTTGCAAGACGAGCAATCACAAAGGTCTTGTTGGTCTCTGCAAAGCCGGTGAAGTAAACCGAATCGATTGCCTAGGGAAAGGGAAATGGATAATGGATTTCAGCTCCAGCTGGAGGCTGGAAAGGGTGGGGAGAAGATGAGTAATTCTTTGTTTTCCATAGATTTCTTCTCAGGAATCAAATTTTACTTTCACTTTCTGTATCTGATACCAGGAACCAAAGAGAACAGCCAGGAGTTCTGCTAGTAACAGTGAAGACTCATCTGTAAAACAGGACAGCCCATGTCCTCAGGAAATAACTGAAATCCACAATAGTTAGTCACTCTGGCACACAAAAATCACAATGTTCATTGACACAAAAGCATTTTTCCTTCTTGTTTGCCCATTTCCCCATCAGAGCAAGCACAGAAAGCAGAAAGGCAGCAGACGAGAAGCAGTTTTAGAGAAGGAATGCAATTACTGCATGATAGGCGCAGACAAGATGAAGTATAATAATCTGAATTAAGATGTTTATTTTGAAAAAAAGAAGTTCCCTTGACCAAAATCCTTATGAAATGTGTCCTCAAAGAGTGTCTGTGAGGAGGAAACTGAGCCACAAACACAGTTTTTCCATCTAGCTCCAAATTGTATGGAGGATAACTTATATGTAGGGGAAACATAGGAATAAAAAAGGGAAAAGGAAGAGAAAGGAAGTTATAGAAACCACAGCACTTTACCAACATGATTAGCAGCTGGGCTGCTGTACGGCCAGTTAACATCTCAGATCTTAAAAACCAGTAGGAACAGAAGTCCACAAGTTCGAGTTCAGATGTCTGTATTCATATATTTCAGCAGAACTCACTTGAAGTTTTAAAAGCTGGAACACGGAAATTATGATTAATGTGTGCACTTTCGGGCATGGATGAAGTTGTGAGTCTGAAAAATTATCCCTCATAAAATGCCAAAAAAAAAAAATACTAAACCCAGATGATTATTGCCCTTACACATGCAGGTAAGGGGCGATTTTGAGTGCACAGAGCTTGGAAATATACATGGAGTGAGCCTGCTGGATGCCAATGTAAAAATCCAGAGACACAATTTCTGGAAGTGTTTTCCAGATCCGTTTTTAGACTTCTCTTGTATAACTTGCTCCAGTGTGACTGTTTGGAGGAGCAGAGGAAAGTGTAGACCTTGGTTATATCTCAAACCACTTTGGGTGTTGGTTTGATTGGGAAGACACTGTCACTCCTGCCCTATCAAATCAAGATTGGCAAAACACTTCAATATGCCCAAGCAGCAGCTTAACTAGTAGAAAGGGAAAGCTGTAGAAAACAACTCATTTTTTAAAAGCTAAGCAGGAGCATCAATGCATTTGTTAAATATTATGATTTAAGGATTCCCAGAAGGTTCCAGGATACGTTAGCAAGAAGTTCACAAAAATAGCTTAGGATTCAGCACCTCAGCTGGCACCCACAAGGCAAATCTTGATGAGGCAAAGAAAACCAAGGGACATTCTATCTCACCAGCCTTTCTGCTTCCCCCTGAACAGCCAAGCCAACCCAAATGTTCCTGTTAGGTACAGTATTTTGATAGGATAGTACATGAACACAGGAAAGGTACAGGTTGTAGATAGAGGGTTTATTATTTGTTAAGCAGACAAGTACACCTGAAAAGTTAGATTAAATTCACCAAGTGTGCTAAAATAGAAGGCACATGTCCTGTAGTGCATTTGCTTTTCCCCACTGACATCAGCTGCTCTGATTAGAGGTAAGCCCCCCTATAAGAGATAGCCAAGGTGACATCCCCAACCTGCCCTCCCTGGTATGTGTGAAAGGTGGGTGGAAGAAGGATGTGGGTCCCAATGCTTCAGGGGTTCGGTGGTGTATGGGTGTCAAATACCAGGATCAGGGATAGGGGTCCCTGAGCGGTGTAGGTGCCAGATGTGTGCAAAGTGCTGGGGATGGAGGGGGCAGGTCCCTGAGGGGTGTGGGTTCTGAAGATGAAGGTGCTATGAGGGCAGGGGGGTATAAGTCCAAGGAGAATGGGTGTTGTGGAGCTACACTGGTCCCAGGAGATGGGGGTTCCAGGGACTGAGGGGAGGGATGCTGGGGAAGGATGGGGTCCTAGGGAAAAGGGCTTGCCAGGGATGGGGATTCCGAGGAAGGGTTCGTCACGGAAGGGGGTCGCGAGGAAGGCTGTCCCACTACTAGGGGTACCGGGGGGCGCTGGGGGACACTCACGTGCGGGTCGGGGCGGAGCGGGCGCGGCCGCCGTGGCTCCGCGGGGGCTCCGCCGGCCGCCCGCTGCCTCCAGGCTCCGTGGCAGAGCAGGAGGCAGCTCAGGGCGCAGCGCTTCAGCGGGGCCGGGGCTCCGAGGGCGGCCGCCTGCCGGGCCCCGAGCAGCGCCAGGAGCAGGAGCAGCGGCAGCAGCAGCAGCAGCATCGCGGAACGGGGAGCGCAGGCGGAGCTGCGCCGAGTGTTCGGCGCTGGCTCCGGCCGCCGACAAACCCCGCCTCGGGGCCGCGCACCGCGGTGTCCCAGGCCGGTCGCGGTCATTTCCGCGAGAGGCTTGTCCCGACGCGCTGGGAAGTGGGATCGGCTTCTTTCAGTATGTTGTTGTTATTATTATTGCTACTATTATTGTCAATAATTATTATTACTATTTGTATTTTTCTCCCAAGAAATGTGATCTCAGCGCGCATCCCGCCCAGCTGCATGGAAGCGCCCGAAGGGGAGTTAAGAGCTGTTGCCCTGGAGAGGCACAAGCAAGTGTCCAGGAAACCCTCCGGGTTAAGTGGTGTGATGCAGGAGCGTTAAGTGTCGGGGTCTCTCCCTGGGCCTGTCAGGGTGTACAAGGGCCATATCAGCTGCTCCTCACCGAGGATGAGGGCTGCGGATGTTCCCAGCTCTTCAATTCAGATTGCAGTTCCTATTGCAGGCTTCTGACCCTGTTTTCTCTGGCTCTCAGCTCTCACCACCAGCTCCAACCCGCCTGGCAGCCCATTTCATCTAGGACACCAAAAAATAAATCACAGTGGGCATCCCTTCAGCATCTCTTGTAGGTACCATTTCTAGAAGCCGTATTAAGGAAGGTTTTTGGTGGCTGCACAATAGATCTTTTTATTCCTTTTGGAGTTAACAAGCATTTAGTCTCATTTCCTTATGCTAAACCACACCCAGCCTCTCAGGGGTGGTTGAAGTGTAGCTGACCTCACTTTGGAGAAAGATGGGGCTCTCAAAACCTGTGCTTTCTTTTGTCTGTTGGGTGTTTTGTCTCCCTAATAGCGCTAAAGCCTCCTCAGGTGACTTCCTTTTACTTGAAATAGCATTTCTTGTATGTTTTTTATGCCTCAGTTGTCCCTCAGTTTGGTTTTATAACCACCTGTGCCATAGTCTTGTGTTTAATGGAACAGTGCTTCCGGTTCTTTTGATTTATTCTCTGAATGCAACTGGTTTTAATAACCTCCTTAGCTCTGCTGCTTCTTTTTGCCTTTTACCTAGGCTTTTCTGATACGGATGTGCTCTTTCTCCACCTCTATGATCGTGTTTCTATCTATCCTTCAAAAGCTTTTATTGTCTTAAATGTTCCTCTTACCTTCTTAAAAAGCTTCCTTGTTTTTACACAGTTCCTCTTTTTCTGAGATTGTGAACAGCTGTTCTGTATTGCTTTATTGCTATCCATGGACCACATAAAATCCAAACAAAAGGGCAGGAGCTAAAATGCAGAAATCACCAGAGATTAAGGCAATAAGGTTCAGAAATGTGTATCTGTAAGTTGCCATTCTTCAGTTAATATTGAAGGGGTACATCTTAAAGTCAACCACAAAGAGCAGGCAGAGAGCCAAAGAGATAATAAGGTTATTTTCTTACTTCAGATTGTGTTATGGAGGAACTGAAAGTGGTCTAAAAATAGGAGATGTGACACAGTGTTATCACCCTGCACCTGCAGCACAGCAGGAATGGTTCGGTCCAGAGAACAGCTGCAGAGGGAACAGACTACGAAAACCAGCTTTTATTCTTAGTTAGAATTTAAACACAGTATTGACATGAAGCAGTATCCAATAGGGAAAGTTCCACACAAATGGCAGACCTCTAGGACCCTGCAAATAATTAAACCCTCAGCAGCTCTAGTCTGCTGGAGATGGAAGGGCTTACAGCAAACATCAGATTCTTGTAAAATCTCCCTTTTCTCCCTAAGGCAACCCACAAGCAGCTTTGCTGCCCTGTGCCAAACTGCTGGAATCCTCATACAAATCACGTCAATTTCCGTATTTGCATTTCTGAGGGGAGGATAAATGGGGCACGAATACTTCATATTTTCCTCTGACATGTGATGGATGCAGAAAGTAAGTCTCACCCACACACACCAGTGAAGATATTGTGGCTGTCTCTATGCAGTCTGCAACAGAGATAAGTGCTGTTCCTTCCTACGAGGACAGGAAGCTCGGAAACAATTTGCTTTGTGCAGTGCTATGTTCCAACATATCTTAGGTAATTTGTTTGAGGACTTCAAGTTATCTCTGGCAAACAATTTATCTTGGCAAAATTGTTTGCTGTGGAAATAGGCTCTAAACCAGCATAGCTTGCAGAAGAACCAAAGTCCTGACATGCCTGGTAATGTTTTTAGCGTGGTAAAGCCAACACTGTGCACATTAAAACAAGTTTAAAATCTCCTACACATGCAAAGATGTGGGGAGGAAAATACTGAATTAATTGGTTTTAAGTTCAAGAGGAAATGAGGAACCTGCAATTGATGCACAGTGCTGAAAATACAGAAAACAAAGTAAGCTGAATTTAAGAATTTCTGCTGGCCTGCATTTGCTTACTTGCTCCTAATCATCTACAATATTGACCATCAAACTTCTCATTGCGTAGTGAACACTTTAAACAGTGCTACCTCTTTCAAATCCAGCTGCCTGGCAAAGGAAATTGGTGTGTTAGAAGTATATTCCAACAGAAAAAAAAGTACTTTGGCACCCTGAGAAACCAAGGGCCTGCAAAATCAGATGAAGTGTTGCTGTGAGGTCCAGGCTGGTTCTCACAATCTTTGCACTGCAGTGAGCACTGATTCTATGTACTGTGCAAAGCCACTGAGCCTCTCTAGCAGTCTTCAAGCAAAATCAAAGCCAAGAGAAAAAATTATGCATCGTTGCCTTAGAGAGCTGCAAATGTAACTGGATTTTCAGAACTACATCCAGAAATAGCAGCTAGACTCACAGCTGTAGTACACGACCCAGACATGGAAAGCTCAGATCTCAGAGAGAATTTCGTGGTTTCAGCCTATATTTAAGATACACGTCATTATATGTGTCATATATATATTTCCTAAAAAAAAAATAAATCAAATAACTGCCTTGTCTTGTATACCTTTTCTCCCTGCATTTGCAGATGCGCTGTTTGCCATCGTTGTAGAGTGGTTATGACAAAGACTATTTGGGCTGCCCCAGGGCTGCAGAAATAAGTCATGCACCATCCAGTGGACAAACGCATTCGTTGCACTGCGGCGACGAGTTATTAAGCATCAGTTCCACGGAAATCGACTGCAAAACCTCCACTTAATTAGAAGGGATAAAGGATGTGTGGGAACTGCTGAAGTACATAGCTCCAGGGTGTGAGAACATAGAGTCCTGTCTAGCTGATAATGCTAAAAAAAAAACCAAACCCAACACAGTACCTAACTTTTTTGTAGCTCCTGGGTAACCATCGTTTATCATTTCTCAGCCATCCTGAAATAAAAGTGCAAGGACATCAATGCATGTCAGTTTTCTCAAGGGTTAAACTCGCTATAATCAGCGCTGAACCTCTTGTTAAGTATGTACCCAAGAAATGAAGCATTTCTTCATTTTGTTTTTACTTCTGGCTAGATGACACTAGTTATATTAAGGGCAAACATGGAGGGAAATAGCTTCAGAAAAAGATCAGCCCTTATAATTTTGTGTCTATAGATATTTCCATACTTTTATTTGAGCAGCAGAGATATTGGCATCGATTTACTTATTTTACCATATGAAACCCTTGGAGACAGAAGACTACACACAAGCTTTTCTTAAATCCTTAATGTTTCATCACAGAAGCAGTTGGAAACGAAAAGAAGCACACAGGCGTGTGGGCAGCTGAACGTTGTACTTGCAGCACGCACAGCCCTTCACGCACTTGCAGCCCAGGTCCCACTAGGTGGTGGTGCTGCTGCAAGATAAAAAAGATGCAGAAGCATGCCCAAGCTGCTGCAATTTTGGTTTGTTATCCTTCAGCATTTTTATCTTTATGTGTTTCAAACGTACCCTCAGCTCACACGCTGCATTTGCTATTTTGCATCAGATTTTTAAAGCTACTGGGTATGTATTTTTTTCTAATGGAAAATTCTGAGTCTCATGAAACTGTATTTCATAGAATCACAGAATGGTTTGAGTTGGAAGGGAGCTTAAAGCTCATCCAGTTTCGATCCCTGCCACGGGCAGGGACCTCTTCCACTAGAGCGGGTTGCTCCAAGCCCCTGTGTCCAACCTGTCCTTGAACACTTCCAGGGATGGGGCAGCCACAGCTTCTCTGGGTACCCTCACAGAAAAGCTTCTGCCTAAGAGCTCATCTCAACCTCCCCTCTGGCAGGTTAAGGCCATTCCTCTTGTCCTATCACCACGTCCTTGTAAAATGTCCACTTTTTATTTCCATCTAAAGCTAACTCAACTACTTATGTTGTAGCCTAGAATGATCAACTTTAGTGAATACACTCTGGACTTCCATGCCAAATCACTCTTCTTAAGTAACAACTGTAATGAACTAACCCCATGAAACCCCCCATAGGCATAAAGCAAAAACCCATCATGGAAGAACTGAAGTGAACCCCGCTGGGTCTGTACTCTGTTACGGCGGGTGGAGAGGGATGTGCTGCTGCTGGCGATGAGGGAGGGCTTCGAAGGGACGAGGAGGAACTGAGCAGGGGTCAGCTCCCTGGTGCAGCAGCACCGCCATGGCTCACCCAATGACACGGTGAGCTCGGTGCCATGGCCGCGCTGCCGACAGGCCCCGCACCTTCACTCTGCAACCGAGGGAAGAAACCCAGTTTTACACCGAAAGAACACAATTTTACTCTCATATCACGAATTCTTATCAGAACGGAAGAACGCGAACCTGCATCACGTCCCAGTACCACCCCTCATCTCCTCCTCCGCCCACAGCGCCTTCCAGCGGCGCCGCCCGCACACGCACCTCCCAGCCAAGGACAGGCCTCTTGTGGCCGCGCATGCGCACAGCAGGATGTGCACCACGTGCACCCTTGCTCTGCTATGCGCCTGCGTAGCTCGTCCACAGGGAAGCTCCCCTCCCGCCCCCCAGCCCGACTCGGCGCTTGCGCAGTTCCCCGCGCCCGGCTTCCGCCTCCTGCTGTGGTGCCCTTCCCGCTTCCGGGAGTCCTCGGTTCCTCGGGGCGCACGGCAGCGGGCACGGTGGCCGCGACGGCGGTGGCTGAGCGGCGGGGGCACGGCCCCGGCTCGCTCCACCGCACCGTCGGCACGGCGCCAGCCGCAGCGCTGCGGGCAGCGGGGCAGCCGCCGCTGAGGTAAATCCACTCCCGTTCCCTTCCCGGGCTATCGTCCCCTCACCGAGCCGGTTCCCCTTAGGGCGCCCGCCGCCGCGGGTCCTGCCTTGCCCTCTCCCTATGGAGAAGGAGCGTGGGGGCCCTGGCGAAGGACGGGCGGGGAAGGGTGCCGCCGCTTCTCCGGGCGGGCGCTGGGCGCCCCTCAGTCCCCGTCCTTGCTGGCGGTCGGTGCCAGGTCTTAACGAGGTGTTTCGGTGTCCTGCCTGTGCTCTTGCTTCTGTTCGGGTTATTTAAAACTGAAACCTGTCAGCACCAATGGAAACAAGCTGAGAGAAGCGTCCCTGGTCCCCAGCACGGCTGTGTTGTGGAGTCGCAGCTGCCGCCGTGGGAAGCTGGAAGGAAGGAGAACAGCAGCCGCTTTTCGGTGATGCCCTGGCGCTTGCTTTAGGGAGTTTTGCTGATTTCCGTGGTGCTGGTACGGTTGGAGAAAGTGGGGACGCAGATAGTTCGTACTCTGAGAAACGGGAGGGTAGGTTTGTACAGCACAGCACGTATGTGGTCTGCGCCGTAGAAAAAAGGATTGGTAAAGCATTGGCTATTTTCAATACTATACATACAGTTGTATAATGGTGTCAGGATGCTGAATTACAGTGATGTAACTGCTCGCTTTGCTGAAGACATAATTAGGTTGAAGCCACTGTGACTGTTCATATTAACAGATCTTTTGAAGTGGGTGCTCTCCGACTTTGAAAATTTACAGATAAAGCAGAGCTGTACTGATTCATTAGCAGATGAAACTGATGTGAGATTTTAGTGTGCTTAGATTAGAGTTAAAGATCTGAAAGCTGTTTGTGGCTGAAAGAATCTGATACTACTTTTCATATCTAAAACTTTCTTGGTTTCGCTCTAATGTAGTATATTTTGTATCGTATATGTCTGATGCATTTCTTTCTTATGCCTTTTATGAAGACATAGAACTTTTAAGGAATTCTGCAGCAGTTGAAAGACTGACAATGAGGAATGAAATGTGAGGCTTTATCTCATATGACAAACCATTGAAACAAAGGCTTGAACACTCTTTTAATGGATACTGAAAATTGCTGGTGAAATTAGTTGAATTTTGATCTATGGCATTACTTTTTGGAGCCTGGAAGAATCACATGTGGATGTGGATATAACAGCTGACAGAAAAATGTCCTTGCCAGCCTTATATCACATTGCAATGAGTATGTGTGATACCCAAGCTACCCTCATTCAGTTTTAGGGTATAGCACATAGGTATATGTGCTATAATTAAAGCATATATAGCTTTAAATATAATTAAATAATGATATAATGAATATTATTAATAGTAATATTTATTGTGTATATTTATAAAAATTGATAATAAAAGTTAATATAGTTGAGTTATAACCTTTAAATATAATTACATAATTTTATTAAACATAATAAATATATGTAGTTTTGAGTAAAGCAAAAAACTAGAATTAAAAAATCATAGTCTAAAGTAGAATGTGATTCACTCAGTTGCCCTTGACAAAGAAGTAAAATTTTCTTTTTCTGCTTAACAATACTGATACTGATTTAGGCATCTAGCTTTCTGGATTTTAATCTGAATCTGAATTTGTGGCCTTCTTCCAGAAGATGTAAGGTACAAAGCCCAGACATCGATTGTGTTCAAGTCCTGCTCTTAGATGAAGGTTGTTTTTTAGCTCAGAAGTGCCCTATCCTTTCTGTTGGAGCTCAGTGAGTTCTTTGTGTATCAGCTATAGTGCAGGGGGAAAATTTCTTATCAGAAAGATACCATGCTGAGCAGTGCTTGTGTAAAAGTGATTTGGTATCACAAATCTACTGATTATTTCTGATAGCAGAGCTCTTTAATTCCTTTTATAAGTACACATTCTGAAGACATGTCTAGATGTTTTTTTTCCTTTTGTTTTGCGTAACATGTTTTACCTTGAATTCTCATTGCTGGGTTTTGAGAGTGTTTGTAAATATGCTGTTGCCATAAAGACTTAAGTAATTAGAAGACCAGTTTCTGTGCAAGACATCCATACTTATGCTTAAGTACTTCTTGCGTATACCCTTTTTCTGAGATTATTTAGAAGCAGCATATCCTCTTTTAAAGCTGAGAAGAAGCAATTCCAGTGTTTCCCTATGGCCTGGCCTTTGGTGTGTAATAAGAGACTGGTGTAAGGAGAATTATTACAATAGCTTGAAACTTGACTGTGTTGGAATTATACTTACTGCAGATTGTCTCTTGAATATGTTGCCAGGTGTTTGCATATAAACAGCATCATATTAATTAATTGTTTCCACCGAAAAGGGCCATTGTGCTTGCTGTAGAGCAGATACAGGTCAGTACAAAGGAGGGCTATGAGGCATAAACAAGAAATTAATGAGGAAGGTACCATATTTAATATATTAAATATATGCCATGTTTATGGTACAAAATATATTAAGTTAGAGCAAAAGCAACAAGGGTTTAGAGAGATGATGCCACTGAGGGTGTGGGATAGACTTGGGAATAAGTTGGTAACACCACTTTAGGGTTGTATCATGGGTTGCCATGCTGCTGCTTTCCAGAACTATGTGCTCCGTGTTACCTATGTCCCAGATTCTTGAAATCAGGCATATCTCTTTGTAAGTTCAGATAGCAAAGGTTGAATCTGTTGGGGCAAATTGGAAATGAAGGATGAACTGGTTCTTCTGAATACTTGTTAGCCTGTCCTGTCTCACATTATGGTTGCTGAGAGAGGTCAGCCCTGAAACCCTAGCAGAGGTCTCCTTGTACAGAGCTGGGCTGCTGCTGGGGCTGAGCTAAAGGGTTTTCAGTGCTTTCACTGCTTGATGTAGTTATTAGAGTTGTTTTATTTGTTGTGAGGTTGTTTGCTAGACTAGCCACTGAGAAGTTGAAAGAAACCACAGTTTACTTATCAGATGGCTTTGCAATTTGGATTGCATGTATCTGTAATAAAAAGTAGGTTATTCACCTAAATCAGGCATGAATGTCTCTAGACATTATCTGATGGACAGTTATCTGTCAATAAGGAATGGTCCAAATTGCCCATGGTATTGGATGCAGTAGTAGGTGTGCGCATGAGCTTTACTTAAAATTTCTGCAATTATTGAAGTTAATATTTACACCGTAATCTTTTAATGAAATTACAGTTTGGTGATTTTGATTTGCCACCAGTGCAGTGCTTTTTAGGTAGGACTTAAATCCATTGTATGCAAGTGCTGTGGGATTATAATTCTAGTGTGCAATGTCTGTTCCTGACCCTGCAATTACTGACCTCTGTCATTGTGCAGTCAGAAATGTTGAAATAATCTTTATCCGCATCATAACTGAAATATGAGGATTCTTATGAATCTGTCCACTGTATAGTATGAAGGAAAAAGTCACCAAAAATGGTTTAGGTTTTGACATCTGATGGATTTTTAGCTTGTATATAGATTCATATCTGTGTATCTCTTTTTAAAAAGTAAAATAAAATTTTCCTACAATGTTTTTCCTTTCTTCTTCAAAAAATAGTAGGGAAAAGAGCTGTGCTTACACTGAGGTGCCCTTTTTGTTTAATTGACAGTGCTGGGGCCTCATGATACAATAGTTGTATTATATCATTTGTCTTCCTAATGCCCTTGGTAACCTTCTTCCAGTAAACACAGGGAAGGAAGGTGCAGTAGATCATTAGCGCCATTGGAAAACAAAACATCTTAGGCAGAGCCATTTTGCAAGACATCTTTCCAGTGATAATGAGTTTTGTAATGTAACTTATTCAAAAGTTTGGTGTTTTGGTTTTTTATTTCAGTAATACATCTGCATTTGGGCCTGCATTTCAGTAACAGTGAGACATTCTCAACCTGAGAATTTCAAATAACCCCTAAGAGTGGAACTGTGTTGGATCAGGTTTAATATAATCACCTGTGCAAACAGATGATGTTTTGCATGAAACATTGGATAATTATATAATTAAAAAGTCATTAGATAATTAAAAGGTCAAGTTAAAAGCAGTTGCTTGGCATATTAGATGTTGGAGTGTAATGCTTTGTCTCGGAGGCTTGTTCTTTAAGAATGCAACAGAAACTCAATGTAAATTTGGTTAGGACAGACACTGAGGCAAATAAATGATTATTCTAGAGGAAAGCTGTGAGAATCTCAGTAGGGATGCTTAGCTCTTTGTAAAGTCTAAATGCTTTTCAAACATTGATCCTCTTTCCCTTGAAGGGACCCAAAGCAGGGGGTAATCTGAGGTGTAGGCAGCTGGAGAGGAGAACAACATGCAGGAGCAGAAGGGGAAATTACATGAGAGTGACTAAACCTGTTATTCTCGCAAAAGTTGAACCTTGGCACTTCCACATAAACCAGTAACCAATGAGGCTATGGTAGCTTCTGAAATTTGGCATACAATTGTATTTAGGATTAGAGAGCCAACTGAAAAAATCATGTCCCTGTCTTCTCAATAAATTCTCTGTAACAGTTTGGAATGATGACTCTGACTTCTAATATTTCACCTGCGGAGGCTTAGAGTGTCATCTTCTATTGCTTGTCATCTTCAGCTCGAAGAATGGGTGGATGACACTGCAAATTAATGTGATACACTCAACTTCTTTTTGTGAGTTTTTACTTAGCTTCCACTAAATGCTATGTCAGTGACAACTTAATGATTGTGGATTTCAAAATGTTGTGAAAACTGGTTTAACAGAAGTATAAAAGCTTATTTGTAAGGCAAAAAAGAAAGCAGTCAGTAGCTTCATGCAGTTATATGTACATAATCAATGTTTGCATTACTGTGTAGGCTTGCAATAGAATATACGAGTTTGTTTAAATAAGACAAGAGGCTTCTCATTTTCAGGGGAAGTCTGCATTGATATAATTCCTATTGATCTGGGAAAATTTGAAAATATATAGTGAGGAACTCCAACAGTAATGTTTTGAATGCCTTTTTCTAACAAGTTGGTTTTGGATGCTTTCATTTACAAGTAGTAAGTAGTGGTATATTTTCTATAGCTGTTAAATGTCAGAATCCTTTTGTTTCTCTCAAAATATGTTAATTTAAATTAACTGTCCAAGTGAAAGAGTAATGCTTTCGTGTCACAAAATTTATTTTAAATACTCGAAAATAAAACAACTGAAGAAATAAACTTAGGTACTTGTTTAGCCAGCTTTAACCAGACACATTCCAAGTTCCTACTCTAAGCTCTAGAACAAAGCAAGAAAATCTTCCTTGATCATGTATTGGGGGTTTAATTGCCAGACAGATGTTATGGTTTGCAGCAGTAGGACCGGATGAGACAACAGCAATGGCATTCAATGCTGTTGCATAGAGAAGGGCTCCCAACTTAATTTGACAGAAACCAGTGCTTCACCACTTTCTGTGCATCATGTGTGTGGTCACTAACTTTTCCAGTCAGAAAGTTAGGCCCACATCTTTTCTGTTCTCTACTCCAAATAGAAATCTAACTCAAAAATTTTGTGCTGCATTTGCACTCCAGATGTCATGTAGTGATTTCCAAAAGTTGACTGCTAAAATTTTCAAACTGGTACCTGGTTTTCTATCTAAAATAAGTTCATTCTCCTTTCACTATGAAAAAGGAAATCTTCTACACTTTTGAGACTACTAATGAGCACTTACTTTGCACATGTGAATATGTTGTGATGCGTGTGAATATTGTGTCCTTGTGAAAAGGAAGGGATATGATTCAAGATTATGGAACATTTGTATTGTCAAATTAAGTATGGTTAGAACAGCTCATGACAGCATTTCAGTCCTTATATTGATTTGTATATCATAGGTTGTATGGTGATTATTTGTCTATATGGTGGAATTCTAGCAAAGAGAACTTTCTAAGTGTGTATTCCTTTTGGCATAGCTGTGGGCCATTTTCTTTTATATATTAATTTGAGTTAAAACATTTTTTTCCTATCTTATCTTACAATTACGGAAATAGTGGTAGGCATGTATACTTATTATTAATACTCTGCTACCAAAAAGCTTGCTGTAAGTTCTAAAGACAATAAAATAAGATTATTATTTTTTGCATATTCTATCTCTTAGACATACAGGCATGGGGAACAAGAAAAGCAAGTTGGTCTTTGGATTCATTACTTTGTAATGCTAAAACCTGGATATGCAGCAAAAACAGTGAACAAGACAAATGCAGAGTTACTTGAAACAGTGTTTAGAGTGTTTTAGTTTTGTTCTTTGATAACTTAATCTAAAAGGTTTTTTTTCTTCTTGATCAGAAGTTTGATTGCTGTACGTACATGCAGCACATTTCAAAGTACTACTATCTATATATGTAATTTGTGCTTAACACTATTTTCCTGATGAAATGAGTGCTTTACTGATCAGTTTGTTCATGATATCTTTTCAGATTACATCGGATATGACTATGAGAATAGCCTAGGATAGCCCAAAGGAAGGACATGATGTCAAAATAACATACAAAACATTTGTGAGGTATGTGGGTTTTTTTCTGTTGTGCTAAAAATTTCTTGGTTGTCTTTAATAAGAGTTAAACAAAACGAGAGCAGTAATTTAATGCCATTTCATTTGTATGCAAAGGAGTTGCTTGCAGAATTGATCTAAAAATTCACATTTGTTGTGACATACATTAATACAGATACATTACTTTCAGAATTACTTAAGGTAATTTGTTGATTTGAGCAGCTGAAAACTTGCCCTGTTTGAAAAATAATCATTTGGGGTTTTCTCTCCTGAGGTGCTGCACCTTAGCTAGGAAGAATTCCAAATTTGTGTTCTTAAAGAAGTTTCAGAATTGGGAGGTTGGTTTCAAGTCATTGATGCCTCTCAAATAGTTGAAACATCTGGGTAATGCTGCTTACCTATTGAGAAGTTTGGCTTTTTGGAGCCTTTGTTGGGTATTTTGTGTGTCTGGTAACATTGCTTTGCTGTCAGCCCGTCATATACTTCAAGGCTTAATTGAGAATTTATTGTAGATGCATTTTTTTCGTGGTTTCTTCTTTTTGAGAGAGAAAAAGTTAGACAAAAGCTTTTGTTAAAAGTTTTATGTGCCCATTGTTGATGAAATAATAGCTGCATGTTCTAGCTGCTAAGTACATAGGCTTCATGAGCTTGAATTTTCTTTTACAAGTCTTGACCACAAGGAGTGGTTGATGTCACAAAGTGCTATTGAAATGAATTGGCATGGATTGTAATTTTAGCTGTAAACATACAGAAAGATTAGGATAATTGAAAGTGGCTGAAAAGTGAGCCTTATCTAGGTTAAGTTAAGCTTGAATGGCTTTTAAGGGAGGTGAAGTTTTTTTCTTTTTTAAGGTATTTTTCTAGTATGTGAACCTTCCTCCATGGCTTAGATAGCTGCATTCTGGTAAGAGAGGGGACTGGTGTAAAAAAATTAACCCCCAAAAAAACAAAGCTAAAAAAAAAACCCAAAACAACTCACTCCCCCTTCCAAAAAAACCCAAAGCAAAACAAAAAAAAACCCAACACAGAACTGCAGAAACCCCAATGTGTGGCTAGAAAACACAGTGTAACTCCTAGAAATTTTAATACTGCATTGTTAGTGGTAAGATCCAAACACCAATGCTGTATTTCAGTTTGTTCTGTTTCAGAGCCAGAAAAGGTAGCCCACACTTAACTGTGTTCTATGAGCATCTCAGCTAGTTATTTTAACTGTTGCTCTGGGATCTCTACACTGCAATCTGCAGGTACTTGTTTTCATTTCTGGTCTCTTGGATTATTCCTGCCTAGTTCTGGCATTAAAGCTTAAAGATCAGAAGGATTTACTGGGCAGAATGTAGTTATCTGATTCCTGTTAGATAGGACTGGGAGTTTTTAAAGGGTTTAGAAATACACAGCTTCATCTGCAAACTATCTTGGTGTAAGAGGCTCTTTACCTGGTAATGGACACTTTGACCATTTTAGACTAACAAAGTGATCCTATATTCAGGGTCTTGGGATGTAAGTTGAAGTGCCATAATTCCTGCGAGTCATACATAGGCTGCCTTAATAAGAAATAAAAATGGAGACTACTGCTTGGCTATCATAAATCAATATAAATGCTTTCAAGTTTCCCTCAGACGTGGCCTTTAGTTGCATGAATCAATATGAATTTTAGAACACAATATGCTTCTAAAGTAGCAGGTTATTCTTGATGTGTAATGTTAAAGCTTTAGTTTGTCTCCTATTGGTTGAAACCACTTCAGTTCTTCCATATCTTTGCTTTTTAGAAATGTCTGGAAAATAGTGCTGTTTTCAAGGTTTCAGATCTTTGTTCCATTCTGGAGCAACAATAAAGTCCTAGAAGGGTTTTCATGAAATTAAATTAATGTGTTCTTTGAAAATCTGACTCATATTATCCATTGCCATGCTAATTTAACCACTGCCGCTAGTATCCCTGAAGTTTGGTCTGATCTGAGTAAGTTTTGTAAGTTATCCAATGTATCTTTGTATTGGGTTTGTGGTTTTTTCAAGGCAATCACACTTTTGTCAACAAATGTAGCTGCTTACTAACTTGCAGTGTTTTTTGTTGTGAACAATGTACTAAATGGCTTTATTTCCATTCTACGTTTCCTTCTGCTCTTCCCAGGGCTGCTGGAGCAGTATGAAAAGCCAACAGTTTGGTGCCATTACTTGCTGTGTTCTGAGAGACAGGAGTTGTAATTTAATGAAGGCTTTGCCATTTTAGTTTGAGATAGAAGAAAGAGGCTACATTTTAAACAGAAGAGGAAGAATGGTTTACAGGCACAACAGAATGGAAACAAAACTATTCTAGAATCACTTTGTCAACCATTGAAGTTGCATGATTGTGGTGGGTTGACTCTGTGTGGATGCCAGGTGCCCACCAAAGCTGCTCTTTACTAGCTATTTCTCTACCCTCCTCCCCACCACTGGCTTGTGGTGTTTGTGGTCAGTTTATCGTATATTGTCTCTGTGGCTCTTTCCTCTTCAGGAGAGGACTCATCACTCTTCCCCTGCTGTAGCTAGCATCCCTCCTGCAGAAGAGAGTCTTCCATAAACTTCTCCAACATGGGTCCTTCCCATGGGCTGCAGTTCTTTATAAACTACTCCAGCATGGGTCCCTTCCCTGGGGTGTAATCCTTCAGGAACAGACTGACTGCTCTCGCACGGTTCCCTTGCAAGGTCACACGTCTTGCCAGACAGCCTGCTGTATTGTGGGCTTCTTTCTCCACAGGGCCACACATCCTGCCAGGAGCCAGCTCCGGCATGGGCTCCCACAGGGACACAGCCTCCTTTGGGCATTCCCCTGCTTCAGTGTGGGGTCCTGCACAGGCTGCAGGTGGATGCTTGCTCTACTGTGGACCTTCATGGGCTGAGTGACACAACCTGCCTCCCCATGGGCTGCACCATGGGCTGCAGGAGAACCTCTGCCTCAGTGCCTGGAGCACCTCCTCTCCTCTTTTGTCACTGACCTTGGTGTCTGCAGAGCTGTTTCTGTCCTGTATTCTCACTTCTCTCTCTGGCTACAGTTGCACAGGTTTCCCCCCCTCTTTTAAAATATATTATCCCAGAGGTTCTATCACTGTCACTGCTGGGCTTGGCCTTAACCTGTGGCAGGTCTGTCTTGGAGCAATCTGCATTGGCTATGTTGGACATAAGGGAAGCTTCTAGCAGCTTCTCCCAGAAGCCTATAGCCCCCCCTTCTATCCAAACTTTGCCATGCAAACCAAAGCGATAAGAAAAAAAATTACAGTATTATAAAACTCAGAAATTTGCTTACAAAATTGTTTATGAAACTCTGTAAATTAGTGTCTTTTAATTACAGAAATACTTCGTATCTGTGTAGTCATAGAATTGTTCAGGTTTTGATTTTAAAAAAAGTAATCTCAGTAATCTGTTTTCAACTGGTATATGTTTTATCTTACACAATAACCAAGAGCCACCTGTATTTCCAGTTTCCTCGAGCATGATAATGGTATATCTTTGCTTCCTGCAGGGCAAGGCCGGAAAACCATGCAGTCATCAGGGCACAGATTCCGTGATGTTGAGCACCACCCACTTCTTGCTGAAAATGACAGCTATGATTCCTCTTCCTCAGAGGCTGACATGGCAGAGGGGGTTTGGTTCATCCGAGATGGCTGCGGTATGGTCTGTGCTATAATGACATGGCTTCTGGTTGTCTATGCAGACTTCGTAGTGACTTTTGTCATGTTGCTGCCTTCCAAAGACTTTTGGTATTCAGTGATCAACGGTGTTCTCTTTAACTGCTTGGCAGTACTAGCTTTGTCATCGCATCTGAGAACGATGCTAACTGATCCAGTAAGTATGCAGTTGTTTCTTCACGTTGGATTGTTCTTTCATGTTGCTTATCGTCTGCAGAGATGTGAGCAAGTGATATCAGTTGTCTCCTGCTAGGAAAAATGGTGTTAGATTCAAAACCCTCAAGGTGAAGGCGTGATATCTGTACTTTTCCTGTTGTTCTGTTGAAACTGTAAATAATTTTTGACTTGAGCAGGCAGCATGAAATTAAGAGGGAGAGGTAGGCTCTTGGGAAATTCAGTTTATTTGTAAAATATTAACCCAGGTTCTGAAGAAGGTGATAGTTTTAGTCTTTTCTGTCCAAATTTTCTTACTTTTGTTTGTCAGATATATTTTTGAAACTTCGTAAGAAGTTGCAGCTTCACCCTGTTGTACTTTTTGAAATGTATCTTACATTTATGGCACATGAAAGACCTTATAGGGGTAGATATGCTGTAAAACCTCAGTCACATATTGGCATCAAGTAAGAACTACTGTCATACATGATTCCATTATTACTGTGTTTAATTATGTGGAGTCAGTGGTAAGGGAGATTTAAGTTGAACCCACTCTGGAAGAGTGTAGGTGTGAGAGATCTTGGAAGTACTCTTTTCTTAGGACTCTTCAAGAGTTCAGGAGATTAAATTGTTTATTTTGTATTAAAATCTACTACTCTCTTTAAGGGAATAAATCTGGGGAGATAAGGGTAAGGGTAAACACTTCTGTTTTCTCCAGATTTTTGAGATCGTAACAGTGTATATGGAAGTTAGGGGAGTGTTCAAAAAAGCCAGGAGTTTGTTGTACTTAATGGTTTCCTAGGTCTTTGACTTACTTCTGAGCCCACACCCAGTGATGAAATGTGCCGACTTCTACAGACTGCAACAGCTAAGAAAGTTAATGGTTGAAGGATATATTGCTTAAGAATTCATTCTTGTAAAACTGTGTGTCTTTCTAGACCTATGTTGTTCTTTATGGATAAAACATGATAGTAATTGAAATGAATCACTGCCTTTTTTTTTTTTCACCACTCCTTTCCTTGTGACTCCCAGGGTGGAAGACGTGATAGTGTAATAAGAACTAAGATTGACGGAAAAAAGGAATAAACTGCCTCAACACATGAATAATATAACTATTAAAATTGATTTTTTTTTCTTATTAAATTGGTGGCCATCAGAGACTGTGAAAGATGCTTTGAAATAGAACATATTTTTTCAGCAAAATGCCAAAAGTATGGCCTGAAGTTACTGTCCTTAGTGACAGGTGAATAGGTGGATGTGAGACTTGTTTTATAAACGTGAATTTACCTGTGTTTAGGAGTTCTCTCTGGGATAATTCACCATGTTTACACCAAAGTACTCACTTCAATGAGAACATTCATGTCGCAAAAAACACTTCAGCAATACAATGTGCGAGTTTCAGAAACTCTATTTGAGTCTGTGCACTTCCAAAGGCCAGCTGGCTCTAGCTTGAAGCACCACTTAGCTGAAGAGTTCATCTAGGGCAGAACATGGCTGTGTCTCAGGCAATACAAACACAAGACTGTTATTCCAGGACATACCCAACAAAAACTTTCTGCCAGAGTAGAGGGGTGTTTTGCAATTGAATCCAAAGTGCCTCCTGTTTTTTTTTAATTCTGTCCTACAAACTTCCTTAAGGTGTCTCTGTAAATTCATGGTGTTGCCAGTGGGCTCTTTTTGAATGCGAAAGAGTGTTGCAGATGATTTAAGACAACCTGGAGGTTATCTCTGTGTCATGTAGGTGCTCATCTGGAGGAGTTGGTACAGAAAGGCCACATTCATTTCACATTCTGGTTTATTTCACGATCACTTCCTGTCACAGATAAACTTTTAGCTCTATAAATAAGCGAGATGACACTGATAATGTCCATTATTTTCTTCTTACTAATCCAGAATTAGATTCTGATCTCAGAAGGCTCTCGATTGATATTGTTACTGGAAGAAGCAATCCTGCCTACTTTTTCTGTCTGTTCCATCATCTTCCTCATTGTGTTGAGCAGCTGCTAATGCAGCTCTGTGATGAACAGCTCAGAGAACTAATCACAAAAAAATAATTTATTTTCCTGACTGGTTATTTTTCTTTTGGATCAGTTCCTTCAACTGTTTACCAGGTAGCTACACAAACTTCCACAGTAGCAGAAGGCAGCAGATGACACTAGATGTAGAATAAAGAAGGCAGTGGTGGTTCATGCTAACAGTGTCAACTAAAAGCTGAAGTATAAAGTTAAAAAAGGTGACTGCTGCGTCTCAAAAACCTGTATACATGGGGCTAAGTCTTGGATGCAGAGATTTGAAATAACATCTTTCAAGTAGTTGTTGATTTAACTTCTGGGGATGTCTTCACCTAATAATCGAATGTCGCAATTAACATATGCTGCTGTAAGAAAGTATGTCTTGCTGTCAGCAAATATTGTACCCATAAAGCTTATATCTGCATGTAAAGATACTTTATGTATGCTGGTGACAACAGATTCTGTCAGAATTATGCTAATACTTGGCCACAGATGAGTCTTGCAGAAATGAAAGTGCATTTGAGGTCAGGCAGAGGTAATTTATGCGTTTCTAAATGATTCTGGCTTATAGCAGACTAGCTTTGAATAAACTGAATTCATTTCAGCAATTATGCTGAGATTACTGGTATGAAGTCTATAAAATGTATTTTAAAACATTCTCAGACCATTTAAGAAGCTTTCTCTCCTTTAACTGAAATTGTTTCAGGGGGCTGTACCCAAAGGAAACGCCACTAAAGAATACATGGATAATTTGCAACTGAAACCAGGAGAAGTGATCTACAAATGTCCAAAGTGCTGTAGTATCAAACCTGAGCGTGCACACCACTGCAGGTATGCCATAGTTTTAAAGCAGTTATGCATATTGATTCTTAGAATAATGTTCCTGATAGTTACGTGGGGTTGATTTTTTTTCACCACAAGTTGCTTTTGGTATCCAGTAAACTTTCAAATTCATACATTGCGGAGTATTTTATAGATGTAATATACTATGGCCAAAAATGAATGTGGGTGATAGGAAAAAAGCAAGAGATTCAGGAGCTTTTAAAAATAACCATACTGTGGTGTCTTAAATAGTGTTCGATCTCTGAATATTTTTTCCTCAGCATCATTATAATTATTACGCCATACTGTTGATAATGCAAGGCAAGGGAAAATCTCAAGGAAGTTTATTTTAGAACAAGAAAATTTATTTAAGAAACAAACATCTCCTGCAGTTTAAATTAACAACATACAGATGAGTTCTAAACTGTTGCTTTAATTTGTGTCTTGTCTCCTTTGTGTGTCATTTGAAGTTACATGTGAATTGTCAAATTATTTTCCCATAGTGGTGCGCATAATTGTAAATGCATTTCTGCCTATTGAAGATTCATTTTAATAACCACAGAAGTGATGATAATTTGAACTAAGGGAAGAGATGGTAAATATATACATTCTAATTCTCAGTCTTTTGTGTTTCCAGGCACTGTGGATATGCATTTGTAAAGTTTATTGTGTGAGAGTTGAAAATAGATATGCCTGCATAATTAAGGCTTACATAAATATGTAAATGTTTCTGGTGGCTCTCTAGGTGTAAGGAGTGGTATGTATTGAATTGTGTGGCATATTACAGTTAAGTCTGTGAGTCAGTGCCAATCAGAAGAACAGAGTGAAGTCTTGTCAGGACTCCGAAATTACTCTGTAAATTTGTGCTTTCTAAATTAAATGTCTCAGTGTATGTCGATTATCTTTGTGAGCAATATGGCTGCAGAGCTATTTCCATTATAAATAACCAGCCACTGAAGTCTTGTTCTCTCAGATGTGAGTGGGCTTTTGTATCTGGAGTGTGAAGGGAAAAGTTCCATGTATAAATAGTCAAGTATAGAATTATCTTCAGCTAGTCTCTCTGTGTTGTAGGTCAGCTTTTGCATGGATGCAGGTACCAGGCCTTTCTTCCTGGGCAGTGAGTTTGGTTCTGGCTGGTTTTATTAGCTTCAGTAGAGCATTACATGAAGACAGCTGTACCCATTGCTTGGTGGGCCTGGGGGTAGAAGCAGAGCAGCTGCTTTCTTGTGGAAAAATATAAGCTGCTGATCTCTGGGGGTCTCCAACAGCTTTGTGCAGTCTGTTCATTGGCACTGTGTCCATGGGAGGCAGTAAAGGGACACCTGAGAGCCTCTCCTAAGTGTAGGTTGGACCTTAATAATTTTTTCATCTTGAATTTAGGCTGGTTCCTAAGTGACTTTGCAGGTATCTTTGTGTTTTCCACATCTTCAGTCCTGATAGGATTTACTAATTTGGAAGTAGTCTTAAATGAAGATATCTTACATTAAGCTCTGCATATGGGCAGACAAGCTGGAGTATTGGAAAGACAGGTTGTTCTCTGGGAAGTTAGACCCACATCTGTTAGACCTGGAGCTAGCAACTATGGAGGTTTCAGGTACATTTTTCAGTGCCCCTTTGGTACATTTGGGCCATCATCCTTGGCAGGCACTGTGTTATCTTGGACGTTCCAGTGGCCTGTGATCCCAGTTAAGGTGGTTTTTATTGAAAAATTATTTCTTTGTGGAATAAAAGTGAAAATTAAGTAGGGACGTCAGAGATGTTGTTTACAGCAAGAATTTGAGCAACATTTATTGCTAAAGCAGGGCAAGAATGGGTAATGAAGGAAATCTGTGATACGTTCGAAGAGTTTGTTTTCAATAACCAGTGGCTTAGGGACTGAGCTTTGAACGTCTTGTGCATTGTTTTACTTTTTATGCTGTGGTAAAAAACACTGTGAGATGTTCCATGTAAGGGCAAAGGATGCATTCTGGTGCTTGTGCATTGCATAATTGCCTTCACAGAGCATCTGAAAGAGGAGGTCAGAGCCTGAAAGTGTATCTGTTGTAAGCCTGCTGTCATGTTTTTCTCAGTAGTTGGATATCTGGTTTAATTGTCTTTGTTTCATTTAATCTGATTCTTTGCCATGGACTTAGCACTACAGTAGTTTACTGAATAGAAAAAAGGTTTGTTTGATTGTACTGCCAACTTTTTATTGGCTTACAAACCCATTCCAAGGACATTAAAAGGGTGGTCTAGTCCCAAGTAGTCAAAGTGGCAATTTGCTGATGGAAGAGACTTGAAAATGGAAATTGAAGTTGGTTCCTGTTGGGAAATACTTGCACTCAAAGCCACAGTGTTTTGAGTAGTAAATTATTAACAGAGGAGACTCTTATGATGTATTTGTGAAAATTGTTGTGCAATACTGTAGCACGATTTCTTTTAAGGAAGAAAAATAGTTTCATAATACACATTTAGTGATGGCAAAAAAGAACAAGAAACTTATTTACAGCTAAATAGCTAGCCTCAGTGAAACACATTAAACGGAGATTTTATTTTATTAAGCAGTTAATGTTTTCAGCATAAAGAAGAGTCTTATCCCAAGTGAAGGCTATTTCATTCTCACTGAAGGAGCACAGCTGTCATTATTTCTGGCCTATTCTGGGTGCTTGTGTTTGTGTGTGGGGAGCTGTTATCCAGAAACAACTCACTGAGATGTCTGCATCAGTCTTCCTATGAATTTCTGTTATGCAGAGCAATTTCTTTTAAGCAATTAGCTGTGTGTTTCTGGATGTTACCTTTGGCATTCCAGTCTGTAACTGCATCTGCTGTTGCCGGCGTGCATTCAGCTGCAGTGCCAAGCTGCAGAAGACTGTCCTTCACCCACAGCTGCTTGTTCTCATTACCATATTGCTCCTTTCTCTTGTGTAATGCATGAGAGTCCATACACAGTGACACGACCCAGGTTGCAACTCATACAGTGACTTCCCCAAACTCTTGCTGCAAAAACATCTGTGCTTGGACAAGGAAAGGACTAGAATACAAGTGATGTGGGTAGGAAGAAGGCAGAACCACTGTGTTAAGCACTGCTGTGTGTTTGTTGGCTGGAAACGTTTGTTGAAGCATGGTGTGAGATTAGAAAGGAAGGCAGGGTTCCAGACATCTGATGTCTTGGAGAGCTCTGCGTGGGCTTGTGTGAAACACTGAATGAGCAAAAGCGCCCACCTCACATCTTCCAGTGTTTGGCTTGATTGAGTCTGGGTATGATTTTACTTAGTATTTCACATTAATATTCTTTTTTAGGGTGATAGTGTATATTATGTGTTACATTAAGAGGGTTGCATGGTTGTGGTAGCTGGAGCTAGCTCACCTTCCCACAGAGCTTGGGAAATTAATGAGAGGCTGAACTTACAGGCAGCAGGCTGTGTGAAATGAAAATCTTTTGGTGAACCTTCTGAATGCCTTTCTTCAGTGATACCTGTTTCTTCTGCCCTAGAGAATTGTTGTGGTGTTTAGTTTTGATGTTGGGATTTTCATGTGTAACTGGCACTACCAGTAAATTAGTAGCTAATTTAAGTAGTTTAATTATTAGTGAAAAAGTAATTTGCATCTGAGGATGAATTGTCTTTACCATCTATAAAACAAGAGGCAGTGGGAATTTAGGGGCTGGGTTATGATAGCTAAGGGCAAAGCGAGCTTCAGAGGAGTAGTGAGATATTTGGGATTCTCCCATATAAGCTGCACAGAAGTTCTGTCTCTTGCTGAATTACCTTAAAATCATGCATATATGTTGGCTTAAAAATTATGCGTTGGAGCATTTATTTCCCTACACAAACACCCTTTTCTTCACTTTATTGACAATCATCTGGCTTTGCTTCATGACTTGTCACTGCAGCACTCACAGTTAAACAGATATAAATAAGCATGCATTAAAACTTGATGATCTTAAGGTCCTTTCCAACCCTAACTATTCTATGATTCTATAAACCCAGAGGGTTTTGAATAATAATGCCTGCATTTTTTAGGCTTATTTGCCTTTGTAACTGCCAAAAAGAAAATGCGCAATATTGTTTATTTTCTGCAGGAAAATTGGAATGTTTTGTGTGTGGCTGTCTTAAGCACAAAGCTAGGAGAATTCAGTATCAGTATTGCTTAAGCTGATGAACTTAACGGAAGACCCTCAACACATGTCACAGCTGTTCTGTTTCTCTTCTATAACTTTGTATTTAACTGCAGATGGACCTGAATATAAGAGAAAAGAGCCCTCTGGTGCTGTATGGCTTAGCACATGTAAAATGGAGTTACTAAAGTATTTGACTTGTGGAGATAACCTTGACTCAGAACTGGGCAGCACCAAAGCAATTAGGTACAGAACTAACAAGGAACATTTTTTGGATAAGCAGTGATTTTCATGTTAATACTGTTTTTCGTATATGAAGAATATTTTATGTACACAGTCAGTTTTGTAACAACCAAAACCTGAGTTGTGAGTGAGCAAATAGTTTCTTTGCAGAAATGCAGATATAATAACTGTTAGCAGTTTGTCAAGAAAGAATACAGCACATCATCTTATGACCGCTGGGTATCCTTGTTGCAATATTAAAATGTGAAGTACTGTTTCTCAATGAAAGTCTTTTTTTCTATCCCTCAGTATTTGCAAACGATGTATTCGAAAGATGGATCACCACTGCCCATGGGTGAATAATTGTGTGGGGGAGAAAAATCAGAGGTTTTTTGTTCTGTTTACGGTAAGTGAAAAAAAAACCAGCTTGATTTCAGTAAAAATCTACCCTGATTATAACAGTTTTGGTTGTGCTTAGTAGTGATTAATGGCTTAAAGGCACAATTGGGTTTTGTTGTTGGTATTTTTTTTGTTTAATTCTATGCAAGATATTCTCCAAGAAGAAGATACTTATTTTGATCATGTACTCTTTAATATTGTTATTAACTATCTTAATTTTGCTGTGTTTTATGTAATAAAGATTAGAGAAATGGAGCTATGTTTAGGGAGCTAATCCTTAAACTTTCATTGTTACCCATGTTTTTAGATTTAAACTTACTTAGAATTTGGTTTTACATCATTGTGTTGAATTAAATATTGAAATAGGGAAGTGTGTTTGCTGTGGAGTGCTGAAGGTTGGCTGGTAGGAATGTCTGCTTTACTACCTGGCAGCAGTCAAAAGTAAGCACACTGTCTTATTTCCAGATGTATACAGCCCTAATTTCAGCTCATGCGCTCATACTGTGTGGTTTTCAGTTTTTCTCCTGTGTCCGAGGGCAGTGGACTGGTAAGCAAATACTTAACTTTCACTGTCATAATACAGCGGATATTAAGGGAAAGTTACACTTATTTTAGTCCCATGTATGAAATATTACAGGACTTCAATCTTTTTAAAGTGAGGTCCTGAAAATATTTCATACTTGTTTCCTGTTTACCCATCTCTGTCTCTTTTTGGTTGCCTTTTAGACATTCACTGTAAAAACTGTTTCCACATAGTAAAGAATTTACTACCTCTGTAATAGAAAGTAAGCAGGCAGCTGGTCCTCAGCCACCTCAGTGCTATATTACCTGAAACTGCCAGCTGGGCTTTGTGTGTCACAGCACAGTTCTGTGAACAACAGAATTTCTTCTTCATTTTGTTACTGGAGCCAACTGTGGGGCTCCTGTAGAAAAGAAATTTCCTAAATTGACCCAGTTGTTTGTTTAGGCCTCTGACTTGCATTTCTTAATGTTCCAGTGTACCAGAGCTCGTTCTGACCTAGTGCTTTTGCCAGAAGATGGTTGATCATATGTTCTTCCTGATACCTGAAACAACAGGGGAATCCATGTGACTGCTTTTGCTGAATATTCTATTAAATGGATGGAATCTTAGTCCTTTATTTTACTTGAAGCATTCTGCTTTCTTTATACGATCCCATTTCTTCTTTCTTTAACTATAATCAGTAGATCAGTTGTTCTCCCAAGATGTGAGTGTAAGTTTAAGACTGAATTTGCTTACTTTGGGTAGAGAATTCAAATAATAATAGGAATTGCAGCAAAATGGAACATCTTGCTAATATTAATTAGCAAGTCAGAGCTGGCAGTGGAGGTTTTTGCAGTGTTTGTCGTGCATGAAACTTCAAGCTGCTCTCATCTTTATATATGTGCAGTTCTGAGTACTTAAATTGTCTCATGCGCAAACATTTATTTGATATCCTTGAGATACTGAGGCAGGATTGCAGCAGTGCAGTACCATATGCTTTATAGGAAGCCAAAAATGTTACTTCCATAAAATTCTTTATTTCCTTGGGCAGCAAATATAGCTGCTGCCATGCTAGAAATTAGAAGTATAATTGTTGAAAATACTTTTTCAACTGCCAGATATTTAACTTTTATTGCTGTTTGTTGAAGAGACATCTTAGTATGAACATGCTCTGTAGACTTTTATTTATTTATTATAACTACATATATCATTTTCACAGAATGCAGTGACTTCTCCCCACCTGTAACTGTGATCCTGATGATCTTCTTGTGCCTTGAGGGTTTCCTGTTTCTCACTTTCACTGCAGTCATGTTTGGCACCCAGATCCACTCAGTATGGAATGATGAAACGGTAAAGACCTCTACTTTCGTATGCTGTAACGGTTATTTTAGGAAGGTGTGATTAGATGGTATTTTATTTGATATGGGGAGGCTCTTGCTTTGGAAAAAACCTCAAATCTTCATTTTTATTTTCTGCAGTTTTAAGGATTGAAATACTTTCTTGGGGTTTGCTTTTTAGCAAGAGTTCTTGCATTATTTGCTTTTCTGACCTAAATTTTATAATTAGGTTTTCAATTACAAGCACTGCACAGATTTTGACCTCAGTTTGGTCTTTCACTTCTCATCTGTCACAAACTCCTGATACCTGCTGTGAGAAATGTCTGCTCTTCTCAGGCTTACACTTAAACTAGGTATCTTGCATCAACCCTTCAGGCTTTCCTCTACTTCTGGTACACTTTGTATTAGAGTATCACCATGCTTTGGACCTTTGGCTCCCCTGCCCTGCAGTGTTAAGCCTTGAGATGTTTTGTAATGGATTACTGACTGGAAACAGAAGGAATTTGAATCTTGTGGCTTCTCAGAATTTTCTCACGTGAGGCTGTTTAAAAGTTTATTTCTGTACTGGAAAGTAGCTGTGAAAAAAAAAATTGGTAAGTATCAAGCCCTCGTCAGTGGGAAGTACAAGAAATGATCATCAAAGTAGTGCATTTGGGAGAGTAAGCCTAGCTTCAGTAATTGCAGTACAAGAGCCTTCTTGGAAGCCTTATTGTCTCATTTCATTAATCATGTAAACAACTTCTAGTGTAAGTATATTCTGTGTAGATCCTTTACTGTAACATCAGCTTTTCTGGTTATTTTATCTTTTAGTTTGAGGGGGGAAGAGGTAGAGGTAGAGGTAGACCAGCCTTTTTGTACACACTTTATGTTCTAAGTCTTCTGCCCTGTTCCAACAGGGCTGAATCAGCCACTCTTATTTCTTCCTTACTAAGTAGGTAATAGTAAGAAACCGATCAGCTCACTAGCTATACACTGAAAGAATGCCAGATAGTCATAAGTTTCAGTAAATGCTGTTAGACTTTGCTAACCTGTGGACCTAACGGTGTGTTGCTCCATGTCTCTTTATATACAGGAAATTGAAAGACTGAAGAGTGAAAAGCCAACATGGGAGCGAAGACTACGTTGGGAAGGAATGAAATCTGTTTTCGGGGGTCAGCCTTCACTCCTGTGGATCAATCCTTTTGCAGGATTTCGAATCAGACGACTTCTACTGAGAACAAAGAAAGGAGGACCCGAGTTTTCTGTTTGAGTCTAATTATGCTGGAACTTAGGAGAATAGTATATAATACTTATTTTGCGGCCAGAGAAGGCTGTCTACATATAATCTGTGACCAGGTGAAACTGATATCAGACATTTGCTTGTAGCAAGCAGAGTTTTATACGTTTATTGTCACAGACATCTCATTAACTTTCAGAGACGTGAACTGGATCTGTAATGGTCTTAACAGCAAGATAACAAAGGAAAAGCACGTGGTCACACTAAAGAAGCCAAATGTTGTCATGCTACTGTAATTTATTTTGAGATTTAATTTTTGTTAAACCCTTTTTATTTGAATAATGTTGGGGGATTACCTGTGTGTTTTTATAAAAAGGTGTCGTGGTTTAACCCCAGCCAGACAGCTTTCACTCACTCCCCCCCTTCTTGCCCTTCCCCTACTCCTGGAGGGACGGAGAGGAGAATCAGAAAGAATGCAACTCCCACGGGTTGAGATAAGAACAGTTTAGTAACTAAGGTATAACACAAATTACTGCTGCTACCACCAATAATAGTAATGATAAAGGAAATAACAAGGGAAGAGAATACAACACTTCATCACCAGGCGACCGATAACTCGCCCCCCCAGCCTGACCAAGCACCGACCGATACCTCCTCCAACCCCGCAGTCCACTCTAGCCCTTCCGGGTAACTCCAGTTACATCCTGGGCATGACATCCTGTAGTATGGATTACCTCTTTGGTCAGTTTGGGTCAGGTGTCCTGTCTCTGCTGCCTCCCGGCTTCCCCTCCTCCCTGGCAGAGCATGAGGCTCACCAAGTCCTTGGCCAAACCAAAACATCATTTTTATCAGCTCTGTTCCCAGCCCGAAAGTCAAAACACAGCACTGCACCAGCCACCAAGAAAGAGAAAAATGACTGCTACGGCTAAACCCAGAACGTTATCCACCCCTTATTCCATACCATTCACGTCATGCTCAGATCCCACATTTTCAATATACCATCACTCTTATCTAAGTGCACTCTCATCGTAGTGCATGGGTCATTCCCTATAAAGCTGTTGAGTCCATCTGGTCCATGATGTCAGGCTTCATCTCTTGTAACAGTCTTTCAGAACAGGAGAGGCTATGTACAGTGTTCACACTTGTGAATAACCTGGGCAATAGTGTCCATTGCTAAGTCCACCCCTCGATCATGAGTCCATCTCTATGTTGCATCTCTGCTCTGATATCTTAAGGGTCATGGGCCCACCAGGCTCAAAATAATTCACTGTCCCCTCCAGCAGTTTCTGCAGCTTGTTGCTGGGGACTCCATACAGCTGCCTTCCATCTCCGATGCTTCCAAAGCACTGGAGGGGCCCAGTGGACCAGATAATTGCCCATACTGTCCCACATGCCCTGCCACTCATGGCTGTCCAGCCTTGGGGGAAACCTCTTGGTCCTCCCATATCGTCATCTAACCCCAGACAAGACCCAAACCTGACTCTGCTTAACTTTTGAGATCAGACAAAATGGTGGCAGGTAAAACACACTGTGTGTGTGCGAACATGGTGAACACCATCACAATCAGCAGGCAGGTCCCAAGGATACCCAAAGGCCATCCAAAACCTTCACAACTCTCAAGTGGTGCTGCTGTACTTGTCACTGGGGCTGGTGTAGCTGCTGTGCTTGCTGGCTTTCCTACCACCAGCTTCTTTTTCCCTGAGTCCAGCTCTTCCTCCTCTGCCTTGCTGGGAAATGCTGCGGGGTCTCCTGCGTCCTCCTGGGGCTCGGCGGGCGGCTTCCGGGGAATCCTCTCGGCCGTCGCGGGGCTGAGCTTGGCCGCAGGGCTCACCTCCTCTGCGGGGCTCGGCTCCTCCACCGCCTTCTCCCGCTCCTCGACCACCCTGACCTCCTCCTCCACCGGCAGCCGGCCCCTTGCAGTTTCCGGTCCCGCTCCCGCTCCCGTTTGGCCCCCAGGGCCGCTCTCCCGGGCCGCTTCAGCAGCCGCCGGCTCCCGGGCCCCCCCCCCTCGGCTTCCCGGAGCCTCACGCAGACAGAGGCGAGGGCAAGGGCCAGGACGGTGAGGAGCAGCCGGACGGCCAGGGACCAGTCCACGGCCACGTCCGTTCCGCCCTGCTGCTGGAGACCATCCGTATTACAAGTCATTGCCATAAAGTACAGTGAGACAAGAACCTTAGCCCAAACCCCACACTTGATAAACACTAACACAGCAAATACCGGCTCTAAGTAAGGTACTACATTCTGAAGCTGTGAGATCAAGAGGAACAACTCTGAGAGCCAATAAATCAGCATTGTGACGAGTGTCTATCAATCCGGTCAGATCTGTCATTATCTCAACCCCTTTGAGCCCCACGTTGGGCACCAAAAGGAACTGTCGTGGTTTAACCCCAGCCAGACAGCTTGTGCACTCACACCTCACCCCCCCCCCCCCCCTTCTTGCCCTCCGCCTACTCCTGGAGGGACGGAGAGGAGAATCAGAAAGAATGCAACTCCCACGGGCTGAGATAAGAACAGTTTAGTAACTAAGGTATAACACAAATCACTACTGCTACCACCAATAATAGTAATGATAAAGGAAATAACAAGGGAAGAGCATACAACACTTCATCACCAGGTGACCAATAACTCGCCCCCTCCAGCCTGACCAAGCACCGACCGATACCTCCTCCAACCCCGCAGTCCCCTAGCCCTTCCGGGTAACTCCAGTTACATCCTGGGCATGACGTGCTCTGGTATGGAATACCTCTTTGGTCAGTCTGGGTCAGATGTCCTGTCTCTGCTTCCTCCCGGCTTCCCCTCCTCCCTGGCAGAGCATGAGGCTCACCAAGTCCTTGGCCAAACCAAAACATCCTTTTTATCAGCTCTGTTCCGAGCCCGAAAGTCAAAACACAGCACTGCACCAGCTACCAAGAAAGAGAAAAATGACTGCTACGGCTAAACCCATGACAAAAGTATATACTTAGGTGCAGTTGTCAATCATAAGGAGGAACATTATGCTGAATGTTGATCTCAAATGAGACATAGCCTTCAAATTCCAGTTTTCAGGGAAAAGAAATTTGCTCAGTTTTAATTTTTATTTCAGCTTGTCCTAATAAACAGAGCTGTATATTTGTGTCCCACTTCAGACACACATTCCTTATATGCAAGTGATTCAAAGGACTGGTGCACCCAACAGCGTAACACATCCGAGGCACTCTTAGACCCCTGCCAGATGTCTTCCCAGGCTCACAAAAAAATGTCTTGTGTTTGGCACTGTTAATCTCTTACGACTCTAAATCTTCAGTAAACACCACTTTTGACTAATGGCTGTGGTCCAAATTCTGCCCCCAGATATGCGTCTCCAGTTCTTAATGCATTGATTCTAGAGGAACTTAAGTGTAGATGTTTGGAGATTGTGTCTAGTCCTCTGCAAGGATGACTGGAACCAGTGACTGTAACCTCCTGTGTGAGATTAAAATGAATGTACTGCAGATTGGAGACAATTCACAGAAAACAGCTGTCTTTGTAGGGTCTTGCTCAGCCCCTTTTTTTATTGTACAGACTTTACACAGAAGGAAAGCTGTTAACTTAATGATCCCTTAAACAAAGACATCAGAGGAAAGCGGAATGTACTTTCTCAGATGCAACAGATCTTAAATGTAGGAAGATCTGCAGTCTTGGGTGACATGGTTTACTGTGTGGTGTACCTGCCCATGGTAGGGGACTGGAACAAGATGAGCTTAAGGCCCTTTCCAACACTTAACTATTCTATGATTTAGAATTAACCATTTTCCAACCACAACTATGAAGAAATGAGAGCATTATACATCTAGAACTGCTTTATGTGGGCCTGACAAGCAACAGTATTGCTAAGAAATGTTCATAAATTTTCACGTACTGAAATACAACCTGCAAGTAATGAAACTCAGCTAAAAGTGGATTCTTTAAAAATTACATTTAGACTGTTTTTTTGTATTATTGTTAATCTGTTCTATAAATAGCAATATAAATTATAAAGCAGGAGCCTTGATGCATAGCTTGAAATTGTGCCTAGAAAGTAAATAGCTCCCTGTTCTGGGACTTGCCTTAAAATTGTCCTGTTCTTGCTTTTGCTTTGCCAGTAGCACTGACGATCTGTCCCACCTCAAGCAGTTCAATATGCTGAAGAATTTTGCATTATAAAGTTTACGTACTACAGAAGTTATGATTCATTTTTTCAGTGACCTGCTTCTTCATTCCTTTGTAACTGTGTCATCTTGATTCCAGCATCATCGGGTTTTATACCATTGGGTGGGTGAAATTACTAAGGGATCCATTTCTTATCTGTGGCCCTGCGAACAAAACATTGCAATGCTATGTAATGTGTTCACTCTGCCTGAGAGGGTTGATGTGTGAGACTAGAGAATTTATAGGTGGACACATCCAATGAAATTGATTGTAAAATGAATAAAATTATGTCTCATGTAACTGAGAGGGAAGTTCCGCAAGAATCTTTGCATATTCAGTTGCACATCTTAAAAGATTGGGAAGGAATGTGTCTGGCTTTTTCATGAGGCTCTTAATGTGTATATTATTTAATAAAAAATCCTGATGAAAATCAGAAAACATCACTTCAAGCAGTTGAACCCTGTGATTTAGCAAGTGTGTGCGTGTGAAATTGGGTTTATTTGGCTTTTTGAACCCTTGTTACGTTGTAATTTTTTTAATGTAAAAAAATTAATAAATTGAAGTCTTAGTTGATTAAATTCTGCTCTTTATGGCTCTTTTTTCTTGCACATATACTTGCATATGTTTAGATTACAACAGCTTCAGGGTAATGGTCTTGCATCCTTTGCCTCAGAATTTGTGTGTACCTGTTTATTAAGTAACGATAGTGCTCAAAGTTAAGGACACTGCTCTGGTTCTTAAGGGTTTTAAGCTATGCTGGCTGCTCAGCTGTTTTTAGGCTACTAACATCGTGTTAGTAGCTCTTTGTCTGAGGCAAGCGGGGTAACACACAGTGGATACTTCACATTGGAAAGCTCTGAACAGAGTATGCCAGCTTTACACTTTTGAGGGATTTGCATAAAACACAGGTTTGAATTCCCTGGTTTCTCTATGCAAAAGCTGTCTTTTTCTGCTAGTCCTGTAGCTTCAGATACAAAGACAGCCACTTACGCAGCCTTTAGAGTGGTATTCAGGTAGCTGTCTACAGAACTGACCTAGCAAGGGTGAGAGGGAGGAGGAAACAAGGTTTACAAAGGCAATAAAGGTTGGAGAGGCTGGAAGCAGCTCATTTTCCATTTGCAATAATTCTAGAAACCCCTTTGGTACCTTTCCAGGGTACAATGCCATACTTCGGTGCGCTGCTGTTTCTTTGAGGAAATTACATCCAAATACATGAATATAAATGTTATGTCACTGCTGCTTGTATTTTTCATCAAGTTGATGATTTGAATATATTTGTATGCCAAAACAGTTAGGCTGTGCTTTGTTTACATATATTTTAGGGAAGAGCTTATTTACTCTCCAAATGGAACAGATGTCTCTGCAGATGGATCCTGCTAATCTATCTCCTTTTTGTTTTCTTGTTTAATTTCTAGTAGAAATGTCAGGTTGTTTCATGAACCATTTCTGAATATTAGACTGCAGCACTGGCAAGTGAAAATTCATTTATGGAGTTCTTTATGTCTATCCTGCACGGAAGTGTTGTGTTTCTGTGATGGTTCTCACTTCCCTCTGTTGGCACTGTGTTTATGTGTGAATGTATTTGATGCTGCTGGAGAGAGAAAATGACACAACAGGTTTTGAAATACAGAAATTGGACTGTAAAATGATTCTTGAATCTGTTAATAAGACTGAAATGCCACCAGGATTACAGATCTATATTTTTTGAAGTGTTATTCCTATGAACAGAATGTAAAGTGTTCTGTGGTTGATTGCAGATTGGTGCTTCATGTCTGAATATGGATTGGTGCTTCTTGGTTGACAAAATCATTGCATGGTTTTGCTCACGTCACCCTTTTGTGTGTGTGTGTGTTCTGAATATCTTCAATGGAGAAATAATGTCATCCATCTCTGGCAGTGTTCAAGGCCAGTTTGGACAGGGCTTGCAGCAACCTGGTTTAGTGGAAGGTGTTTCTGCCCATAGAATCATATAATAGGGTTGGAAAGGACCTTAAGATTGTCAAGTTCCAGCTCCCTGCTGTGCGCAGGGACACCTCACACTAAACTATGTCACCCAAGGCTCTGTCCAACCTGGCCTTGAACACTGCCAGGGATGGAGCATTCACAACTTCTCTGGGCGATTTGTCCCAGTGCCTCACCACCCTTACAGTAAAGAACTTCTTCCTTATATGTAACCTGAACTTCCCCTGTTTCAGTTTGGACCCATCACCCCTTGTTCATCAGTACAGTCCCTAATGAAGAGTCCCTCTCTAGCATCTGAAGGCCCCCTTCAGACACCATGGCAGGAGGCTGGAACTGAATGAGCTTTAAAGTCCCTTTCAACCCAAACCATTCTCTGATTCAGTTTTTGCAGTATTGCCTGACTGTATTGCAGTAGCATGTATGCTACTATAATGCACATCACTCTTGTCATACCCAAATAGACCTGTGGAAGACAGTATGCATGAAAGCAATCACAGTCTTTGTTTCTTAACAACGTAAAGTGAAACTTTGCACTTATAAAATATTTCTGCAATTTCTTTTAATACTGTAGTGCAGGATAAAGGTAATATAAGAGCTAGAATCAATGTTAATAAAGTCAAATGTTAGAACTGGTGAGGAAATTGATAACTTAGAGAAATAGGTAAGACTTTATTACCCGAGATGCACAATTTATGTTGTTCTAATAAAGCAGCTGGCATTTGGCCAGACAGCTAAACTACATTTAAATGGTGGCTTTGAACCTCTTATGTTAACAAAATCAGGATTCCAGCAAAGCAGAATTCTAATAAAATAGTCACTTTCAAGGTATGTTTGCGTAAGGATATTGATTTAATATCGAGTGGGGTTGACATAGGGAAGCCAGAAAGAGATTTTTGCTGTGAATCTATTATGACCCTTATTACAGGCCCCATAGACTGTAAATTTTTCTTGCTATGAACATTCACCAGGCTAGCTGAACACTGGAGGCTGAATCACAATGTTATTCTATGGGATAATATCTCAGATTGATAGCATACCAGTCTCAAGCAAAAGCTGGGCTTTGCAGCCACAGGTAATTCATTTTTTTTAATGAAAAATAGATCCCGAAGGTATTTGCATTGGGTTAATCATTAGAGAAACTTGAAAACTTTATTTCGGTTTAGAGAAAAAAGGCAAACTGTCCATATGAATTATGATAATATGGATTTTTATTTCCTTCCTAAATGTATTTTCTTACCATTAATGAGTATAAATGTACATTTAATTTCTAGAAAAGTAATCTACATGATGGAGGAACTGGAAGTAATGTTAGCTAAGTACTGTTGCATCTGTCATGCAGCAGGAATGCTTGCAGTGGAACCTGGTTTCCAGATATAGCTGTTTCAAATCAAAGTTATCAGCATATAATGCCAGATCAAATTCATCATAGACAGTAGAAAAATAAAGCATTGTGATCCTAGGTGAAATTCAACCCAGTCTTTAGGGCTTTTCATATCTCGTGCTGTAAAATGGCAACTCTAAAACGTATCCCCAGTGACTGAAATAGAAAGTATTTGCCTTCTGATCAAAGTTCAGATGCCCTTCCCCACTTCTCTTTCAGTCAATAAGATTGCATGTCGATAGAGTTCTCCAGCTGAGTATCTGAAGGTCCTTCACAAGCAGTAACGAAAGAAGCTTCACAAAGCCATAGCTGGGCACAGTTACCTCATTTTTGCCATGAACAGGGATGCACATGGGCTGACGGGTTTGTGGAATGTGGCAGGACTAAGAATTCTCTATCATGTCCTACTGTTCAGTACAGCTGCTCTTAATCCCTCAAGAGCTGTCTGATGGAGGTCACTGGACTTCTATTTAGGTAAGCATAAGTGTTGTAGAAGTCTGACAATCTAATAAATGCATTCAAATGAAGACCCTAACACGATGACTTCACTTTAGGAACATTTCAGGATGTATAGACTCTGTTGTGTTTATTTTAAGTAATTGTAACATGGTTATTAGTTGGTTGCCTCCCACTGATAAAGTTTTACACTAAAAACTTACATTTTAAGTACGAATATTTTTTATAGTAAGGTGTGGCTGATAGGATACCTGCTGCTTCCTTTTTTGCCAGACATTACAAAGAGATGTAAAACCACAGCAAAAATCTTACCTATGTACTGGGAAAAGGATTTTTTTTCCTTGTATTTTTGTTGCTACTCTTGCTTCTTCCGAATATGTTTATAGTAAAAGTTTGCAGAAGAGACAAAGCAGTGATTTGTTAAGTCAATGTCTTCTTGCACTTCTGGCCAGTTGTGGGTTTTAACAGAGTCAGCAACCATGGGCTGATGCAGAGATCCTTGCTCCTGTCCTGGAGCTATATTAAATGCACACACAGAGTAGAGGATACGTCAAATGGCTCACAACAGAACTCGGTACATACTGGAAATTATAGAAGATAAGAAAAATGTTGGTGTTCCTGATCACAAATGCCAACCAACATTAGATGTGGAAAGAGGTGCATCTGTTTGGAATAAGAAACCTTTGGCCTGCTAAAGGTTAAGGTGTTCTTCCTAAAGCTTAATATGCAGCGGGAGAATTGGGAGTGTAATTAAATTTTTAATGGGAATAGACCTATACTGACAATTTAAGATACGCTGTACTCAGTAGCGATTACCAGGAACTGTGTAAGGCATTTGGTTTTATGAAGGTAGCAGCTGAAGGCTTTAAAAGGGTCGTGATCACATCAAGTCGGGTAATAACAAATGCAATGGGAAGCCCTACCCAGAAGAGCTTACGGTCTTGGTCCTACTGACAAGGGCATTAGCCCCCGTCCCACATGAAATGAGGGTGGTGGTGGTGGGAAGACACATGGTGAGGCTTCTGGTGCAGTCCGGTATCTGGTGCTTGACTCACGGATGGGAAAGAGTGTGACTGAGAGATCCAGGTACAGGCAGGGGGTTGCTGTGCTTTGCCTCTGAAAGAGAAAGGGCCCATTTCACTTTCAGCACAGTTTCGACATTGCTCCCAGCTTTTCCTTCCACCTCTCCCTATAGAATCTCCTGCTTGGGTATCACTGTCTGAGGCAAGAGCTGTGCTACAGCGTTGGGTCCTGCGCTAGAGCCTAGTTTATAGTCTTCACTGCCTGTACTTGTAGAAGGAGATGGAAGGGATGTTTCAGGAGAAGCTGTGGGAGAGAAAAGAAACAGAATTAACATCGACTTGGATGCTGTTCGATAGAGCAGTGCCCAAATGAAATCATCAATCTATCTTGCAAACCAAGGGGCAGAAGCTTGGGGACTGGGGCAGGGGGATCCATCCTGAATTCAGGCTTTTTCCAGCATATTCTTTCTTCCCGGTTTGTGATGAGGCACAGGGTGGACTGGTAAGCACATACCAACTCTTCTCAGTATTTTGAGCATGGGAAAATTCCACCAACCACTTTTCAATCCTTCCTCTCCTCTCAGAGGAGAGCTCTACCTGCTGGCCACTATACATCATTTACACAACACATCTCTAATCAACCTTGCTGTAAAGCAGCTTCAAAAAAACAACCCCCAAAAGCTAAAATACATGTTACTAAGATTTATATGGCTCAGAAACCGCAAATCCGCTGCAAGAGGTATAGGACTGTAACTGGCAGAAGGACACTGTGTGTGCTAGACATGGTGATTACATGGAAGCGGTTGTTAAATTACAACTCATGTCCCACATTATTCTTTTTTAATTGCATGCTCCATTTGCTATTACAGTGGATAAATGCCTTAACCAATAGTCATTGCCTAGCAGTAGTGTCTGAAGAGGTTGAAGATGGTCTTGTGTTCTGGCCATATTGTTCTGTTTGACAGCAACCAAGATGCTTTACACAGGGAAACCCTCACCACTAATAACCATCTGTGCTGCTTTGTGGCATTTCCCAGTGCTGCCCACGTTCATAGAAACACACTGTCACCAATCTTGATTGCTTTCTTTTTTAAACTTGTGGTGTGTAGTAGCATTTCAAATCCCTCTGGATCATGCTATCATGAAAATCTCAGCTTGTCTTTAGAAGCATGTAAGAGAGTCGGCAAGGTGGGCCATTAAAGTATAATGATTAAGCGTATAAATAAACTTAAAGCTATTTTTCTTAACTGCTTCTCTTATCCAGTCCCTTTGTTATGCTGACACTAGTAGCATATAAATGGACACGTACGGTCTGGAGCAGTGTGAATCACAGAGCTCATGTTGCCTGGGAGAACATGTCCTGGCAGTGGTTCCAGGTTGAGGTTGGGAGGTCCTGACTGGTACTGGAGATCAATGGAGGTTCCTGCAGTGGAAATGGGAAAGACATCATTCTTTGTATAGTTATGGAGAAGCCAGATGCTCTGGGCCAAACATCTTTTATTCAGATAATGTGGAAGACCTCTGTGGAGGTTAATGTCCTGGCTTGTCCTTGCTTCCTTCCCACTCTTCATCCTCTTTGCTCTCAGCATTCTCACTGGCAAGGGACAACCTCTGGCATGGCTGGGGTTTCAGCTAATAATACCCAGCTGGACTGTTCATTCGTCTCTGTGTGTCCCCCAGTTATTGCTCTTATCAGGGCTTCCCAGAAAGTTACAACTTTTGCATATTGCTAAGGAAAAGCATTTTGTCTTCTTACACACTGCATCAGTTTGGTAGGGTGCCTGAAAGTCAAGTGTTCCACTGGTGTGAAGCACACAGAGTGCACCCACTAACTGATCCTGTGTCAGATTTTCAGAGATGGGCTGGAAAGATAAGGCTTGGGAATTAAGTTGGAGTGAGAAGGAACAATATTCAAGCTTCAAGTCAATCTGAGCTTTCACTTCCTTCCACCCAAGACCAAGTTCTCTCTACTGTATGTCCTCCAGAGAAGGACACAAACCCAGACAATGAAGCTCTGTAAATGGCTTTGAAATAAGACAACTTTGCTGTCATTCCTCAGCAGGGTTCATACCTCCCAGCAGCATCTCCTGCAGCAGGCTGTCAATCCTGGCCACACCAAAGAGCTTCATAAACTGGACTTGCTCTATCATCTGCCAGGTGATGCTTTGCAGCGGGGGCAGCAGGAGGAGGATGTCACTGAACCGGCCTCGGGAGTCGTACTGGCGGTCATTGATGTAGTCTTCCAGGTTGACTTGGACCTGGAAGCGCATGTTCTTCACCTTCGTGGGCTCACTCAGGCCCTTACAGTCTGGGAGGAGGAAAAATGGAGGTAATTGCTGGCCTGTGTAACCAGAAAGCGTTACCCTGTCAGTCAGGCAGAGGAAAAAGGATGAGATGGCAGCGATCCTCTGACAATTATCTGTCAGAGTCTCTGAGTTTGACAGATTAGCATTAGGCTCCCATTACTGTATATCTCACATGAAATATGGAAACAGTAAGGGGAAATTGAGGGGGAAAAGTAGTTTGAGGGGAAATTGAGGTGAGACAGTAAGAAAGTAAGATCTTGCTTCAGATGGGCACATCTGGCTACTGCCATTAGTGAAGAGGAAGGATTTAGAAGTTAAACCGTATCTGTCCTTCCAAGGAAACGGCCTGGAATATTCCCCTGAAAAGAGTACCCAAGTACTGAATCCATTCAGGTTTAGTGCTTATATGGTGTAATTACACCCACTGCAGCATCAGATTCTTATCTTGATTTCCTGTCTTTGGCCTGTCAAATCTGTTTCTCATGCATCACTGGTCCAGCTTTGCTTAAGCAAGAATGTGCACTTTGGATAGGGTGAAGTGCAGCGATTTACAGCTTTCCACTCTCCTGCTATCTAAAACTGAGATTTCTGGCTCACTGGACCATTTTCTTCACCGTCTAAAAGAATCCACAAGCACCACATTTTTGGGATCATCATGCCAAGAGATTAGGTAAAGTGGTTATCAAGTTAGTGTACGTCAGCATGTAACTCTATGGACAAGCCTACTTGTTAGCACGAATTAATTTCTCTTCTGCGGAGCTTTGCACTTTTTCCTTTCAGATGTAATCCCAGCGCCTCACTGTCGCAATGATCTAAAGCTCTGCTGAGATACCAATCAGCCGAGAAGGTAATTTGTCAAACTCGTTTTGATCATACTACCCTTACTCAGGTTTACAGCAGACTCTTTGGCGAGCCAAAGTTCACGGTGTTTGTAAAACTCCTGTGTCTTGATTTCAGACCAGTGAACACAGCAAAAAAGAACTAATGGAAGTTACTCTTATTTCTCCATACTAACAGATGCCAAAGACAAAAGAGCATTAAAACAATGGGACATTAAAACAAATGGACTTGGGGTTGTTTCCCCATCTCTTCTCCAAACTACAGGGCAATACACACTCAAGGTACTCCAAGAGGAGGTAGTGTGTGGTGTACTCATGTAGAAACAGGAATGCTGGGGGGGACCTGGGCTGAGACAGAAACCCCTGTGTTTATGGAATGATAATACAGCAAAGGCTCAAAACAAGCTTTTGTTTGCCTCTGTGTGTTTCCCTGTTCCCCATTCTGTATGGGTCATCCCTGACCTTGGTTGGTACTGGCTGCCAGCAAGATCCATTAACAGACATTCTGGGTGCTCTGAGCAGTGCAGCTGTCTGTGCCTTTTAATGCTGTTTTCTGAACTCTGATGGATGCTCCACACTGATGCTCAGTTGACTCACTTCACTTATGCATAATTCAGTATAGGCATATATGTCCTTAATAGTCATCTCCTTCATTTCAGACTGATGGGATTTCCTGAAGCCAAGCTACAGAAGGAGCAAAACTCCTTTAGAGTGTGCAGAGTCTTGCATATGGGTCTGGCTGGAGTTAATACTTGCTAATTAGCAAAGTGTTCAGGAATAGGTAGCTTCTAACATGTCCTTACTTTGCTGCTAAGTATTGCTCATTACAGCAGAGGCAGGGTGAAATGTAGAGCTGCTGCCAAAGGGTTCTCCTGGATATTGGAGAGCCCCCAGTGCCTCTTCAAGCCCCATGCTTGGAAATCAGGAAGGAAGCTTACCTGGATCAAAGAAGATGATGGCTTTAAGGCAAGCATACTCGTTGTCATCGATCTGGATGTCCCGCAAGGGTTTCACCAACTCATCCAAGATTCTGGTGGCCACACGAGCTATTTCCAGTTCCGGACAGTGCATTGGGATGATGAAGTCATTCCCTGGGGAGACAAGAGAAATCCATTGTCACAACTTCGCTCAAGCTCTGCACACACACATCACATCCAGGAGTTACCCCAAGGCATGTTGCCCATGTGCAGCAGATTTCCAGTGTGCAGCTTCACATTGAGATTCACAAGTCAGAAGCAAACGAGGGATCTTATCCTTTGGTCCTTGTTTATCTCATTTGCACATGTCATGCACCACAAACTGTATTCAAAGCCTGCTCCACATTCTGCTCTGGTTCACCCTCTGTTATACCTAGCATCTGTTTGCAAGTGGTGTGGCATCTTTATTTCTGGCATTTGTTTTTTTAAATGGAGTTTTCCCTCCCTCTTTTCTTTAATGTGTGGCTTTCCAGGCCAGTGTTCTCATTTTCCCAAGAATAATCCTGCCTGTGTTTCTGGTAGCAGACTGCTACGTGGAAAAGAAATACCCATTTGCACTATAATTTTTAATAGACCTTTCTGCTAAGCTTTTAAGCACCAACACCCAAAAGACCCCATTGCTTGTGTCCAGGCAATTTCAGTTACGAAAAAACAAGGCAGCTCAGTTTGAGATGCCATTCAAATACTGGGGGGTTTCTCATCACAATACCAAGGCAGTTGTAAAAGTCTCAGTGAATTTGCTTGCTTTTTTTACATGTCTCCAGAGACATTCTCAAGCACTTCAATCTCAAGGCAGATCAACAGACCCAGGAGTGCAGAGAGGACTGCAGGCAGGCAGGTTACTTGGCAATAACTCAATTGTGTGAATTATGAAAGGAATGTATTTCATTGCATTACCTAATAACAGAAAATCAGTGTATGGTATGGACCGCTTGGCTACTCCGAGGAGCAGATGCTCCCCTGCGTGGGCTCTGAGCAAGGCAACCTGGAGGTGGCACAGAAGAAAGAAATGTACAGATAACATACAATTAGGAGTAATTAGAAGTTATTAGTATATTATAGTATATTATTAGTATAGCTTCACTTTTCAGAAGTCTCACATTCATGGCAAACTAAATAAAAAGTTGTTTTCAACTGAAAGAACAAAGACAGGCTTGAATAATGTGAATTCTTACGAAATAAATGGCTTTTATATTCAACTATCATCTAATAATAAAAGGAAAATTAGTCTTTTTTGTCTGCGTCCTTGTGCATGCAGAAGTCATCAACTCTTATATTTTGGTGGACTTGGTTACTCGACTTATTTTTAACCAATTCCCGGTCCTTTGTTGTTATTTTTCTCCTGGTAGTTTATTGCTTTGCTTAGGGTGATCTGTACATCAGTGTCAGATTCTCCCATTGAAAGGTCTGGCTGGCAATTCTTATTGAAGGCAGTGGTTTGCAGGGAAGAGGCATTTGCATTATACCTGGTCATCCAGTGGGAGCTCACAGAATGCTGGGATATATTTTGCCCATTCAACCAGCACCAGAAGCTGCTGTTTCATAGATTCACACACATCGTTGATGGTAGCCACTTTCTTCATGGCAATGTCTGTGCTGTGCACTGGACTCAGTGATGAATACTGAAAGAGAAGCGACCCAGTTACACTGGGACCAGATTAATGATTTCTTGCCATTCTCCATAACAGTGATTCATTGATAACACGGGGAGCTCTCACAGATGTTCACCTCCTCAGGTCATTGTTAAGATGTTGGCTGTTGTGGCTGCACATGTATATGCTCAGCAGTGTATAGCGTCCAACATACAGCCCATGGTGAAGCTTCCACGAGGTGGTGCTCGGTCCCAACAGACACCTCTCCCTCTTCCGCCTCCTTCCCCACCCTCCGCGCTGGCTAAGGACAAGGTCTGATTGATATTCCCATTCCTAGCAGTAGCCAGCAGAGCTGGGTCTCAGCTTTCCTTCCACCACTTGAGGCAGCCAAATGCATTACATGCATTGAGCCTTTCTCCCCTCCAAGTTGCTGTTTGGGACACGAAATACCCATTTCAATCCCTAAAGAGCTGCGTGGTGGGGAGAGGGTTAAAACAGTACTCTTTGAAAAGGAAGTGGACGCATTGCTGCATGTAGTGTGCAACATCTGGACCGTGTGTTTCAGTGGGGAAAGGATATTTGCATAAGAATTTAAAGGAAGCTCAGGGTGAAATTTATTGTGGAACACGAAATGAGAAAACAATCAGCGTTAGCTGAAGCTCAGCAATTCCATTATCTTTTATTTTTCTACCCTAAAACTGTTGCCCTACTAAAGCTACAAGGAAAGACATAATCAGCCTTCTCAGGAACAATATGTTCTGAGCAGGACAGAGCATGCGGCAAGGAGGGATGAACTGCCGTATGAAATGCAATGAGTTTTTAGGTTACAGCAGCAATTTAGGCTAAGGCAGAGGGGACCTGGGGTCTGCAACATCCCTCAGCCCTCAACTTTGCATCTCACTTGCCAAAGGATGCATCTGCTCCTTGCAGGACATGTTGTCCTGATAATGTACTGATGATTTTTACTGTCTGGTTTTGGCTGTCTCTAAGGCATTTTCTTCCCTGTGGCTTTGTGCAAGAGCCATCCAAGGGCAGAAAAAGATCCAGTTCTGGTTGGTTCAGTGAGTTTGTAACCACGTATGGAATAGCTGAAGGCCGTGTACTTGTTTGGAGGGCTGTCCCTGCATTTCATACCTGCTGTGCCATGGCCTCTGCCTGAGTGAGCACGTTGATGGAGAGCGAGCTGTTGTCCTCATAGCTGCTCCTGCGAATGCTGATCCTGTCACGCTCATTCTGCACGGCTGAAATGAGAGTGAGCAGTGGTTGTGTTAGCAAGAAAATTCCCCACACAACCCATGGCTGCTGTAAGTTGTGGTCCCAAACAGGAGTGGATGTGGCCTCAGTGCCTGCAATAGCATCCACTCTTGTTGGATGCTGGAATAAGATTAAACAGGCCCCAGAGGAGGGGAAAAGGACACCAGAGAAGAAGACAAAGCACAGAAGCAGCCTTGGGAGATCAAGCCATTTGGTGGTCATGGCAATGCTTAGGGGACATTAGCATGTTTCACAGGGTTTGGTGTAGCTCAGGGGTGAGTTTGGGGATGTGGTGTCGACCATTTTCACTTGGTAATGCATCCACACTGCTGGAGTCCTGGCCTTTGATACCCTCCTTGCCATGTTTGAATAGAGGACTCACCTCCTGAGCTCCTGGTACAACATGATGCTCTTGAGGTTGCATCTCATCTTACCGCAGCACTGGAGAAAACCATCCTCTGATCCCACCTCAAAGCAGCCCTAATGTGTTCCCTGCCCCTGAGGTATCTTCACCACTCACAGTGAGCAGGAGCAGTCACTTCATGAAGGAAGCTCCAAAGAAAGGAAGCTTAAAATCACTGATTCCCCTTAAAACTATCCCCTCAGACTTGCCCATCGTGCTGCTGATTTCAATGAGTGTGCAACCCTGATGCAGTGCTGGCATAGAGCAGACAGAACAAATCCCAGCCAGGGTCTGGCTCCAGCTCTCTCTTAACTCTGTACAAAACACTGCTGTATATCAGCTCCAAGTGTCTGGACTGTTCATAACAGTGATAAAACACACCTTGGGCACACCACAATGACCACAGCCAAGTGAACATCAGCCCTAGGCCTTTTGCAGATAGAAAGGTATGGGCATGTCATGGTGAATTAGATGAAAGAAACACTCATTTTTGAGGCCTATTCCACCCTTGAAACCATCCTTTTCCCTGAAGAACAAGCTATATCAACCCCATGCTCCATCAGCCCTTCATGTTGAACATAAGGGATTTATTGCACTTTTGACAGCTTATTTTTGCAACTCGGGCTCCAAGAGACGATGACTCCACTGCAGTCATGAAATAAAACAGTAGCAGGAAAAAAAGCAGGATTAGTCCAATCTTGTTTTCAGTGTTAGTTTCTCCACCAAGTCCCGTTGCACTCCTCCAGCAGCCAACGAAGCCATAGGGAATTGGAGGAAGGAGCCTGAATGCAGACTCAGCATTTTCCTGACATCTTATATGTCTTGCCTATGTACAGCTGGGAAAGGCAATTGTCAAGTCCTTAAAGAAGAGGGAACAGGAAGATGTACCATGTGGCGATAATGCAGCGCATCCCTCCTTCTTCACACAGGAATTCCAGGCTCCTTTCCCATTTATTTAGGGGGAAGGACTTAGACACAGCTGCCAAACATGACTCACTTTGCTTTAACCCCTTGGATGTGAAACAGCACGGTTTTAACTCAAAAGTGGCCACTGGAAAAGATTATTCCAGCAAACTTTTGTTTCTGCAGAGCCATCAAAACCTTTCCACCATCCCTCTGTTGTGACTTTTCCTGGCTGCTGGGCCTTGCTTTAGAGGAAGCATCACTCTTTGCACAGGGCAAGTTTCCCTGAGTTCATGGAAAGGAGGAGACATGCGCACTGTTTCACACACAGGGTGGGAAGGTAGGTTTTTGTCAGCTCATGTCCAACCACTGATCTGTTTTCCTAATCGGCCTCTGGTGAGAGGCCAACAAAGTCAAAGGGCAGAAAACAAACAACAGTGACAAAAATCAATGCCTCCTGTTATCAGCAGGAGCACAGGGTTTATTTTCCAGGATTTGGGGCTCAGCCTTGCTGTCAGTGGGGACCCATTCGCTGCTGAACTGGTCCAGCCATCAAAGCCATTCAGCACCCCAGGGTCAGCCTTGCCTGAACAGCTGCAAGGGGCTGGATGGATGCAAGACGTGTGTATTACTGGAGTCTTTTCAGGCTATGTAGACACTATTTAGAGGCAATTACATATCAGTTTAGAGAAAAAACCCACTGCAGCCCTTGGAACACTCTGATAACCTGCCTTAGGCAACAGCATACATTACCCTATGCGGGGGGGGTGATGGAAAAGGCTGCTCACCCACCAGGGATCCCCAGCACTCTGAAGATGAAGGTGGTTATAGGAACCGCAATCTATGATTAACCTTCAGAACAGAGCAAACATTCACGTCTTTTTTGGTACACCAGAAAGACAGCAGCAGCATCCAGCACTGAGTAGAAACAAGCCAGCTCAAATCAGTGGCATCACTTACATCCTTGGAAAGTCCCCTCCTAATCTTCTATGCTTGGTTTTGGATCAGATTCTTCCCCATGTAGCTATCTAGGGGAGATAAGGCTCTTTTTGTCCACTTACAAGAAAAGGTACAAATTTTGCCTTTCTGACCAAGTTGCATATCTTATTTTAGATAAGTCCTATGAACCCAGGCAGACCTGGTCCTAGTCCCTGATGACAGACACCTTTAAGCAGCCTCAGCCTGTTTTTCCTGCTGGGTCCTTTTATAGCACATATTTCAGTGCTTCCCTCATGCTCTGATAAGCTCAATCTTCAAGTGTAAGTGGATGGTACAGACCAACTTTCTCAAGGTGATTTGGGTGTTATCACTGAAAGTACCCAAGATGTGATGGAATTAGATACAATGGAGTTAATGTTTTACCTGCCACAAAATTAATCTATTACTGTGCAGTAATTATATTGCTATAGTTATTGTGCTTGTAAAAAGGAAGGGATAGGTCACTCCTGGTGAGGCATCGGGAGTGCTCGAGCAGTGTGCTGGCACCAAGGGTGCTCAGGCTCAGATGTGATCTGGGCTTTGCAGTCAATAAACCCCAGCAAACTTCTGGGAAGGATTAAAATCCCTGTGTTTCCCAAGGATTATTGCCAACATGTGCCTGTCAAAAGCTTTGCTCCTCCTTTTATTTCCTCTAATCTTGTAATCCTCACAGCACTCCAATTCCCAAGGCCAATAAATACCATCAAAGGCTGTTGCAGCCCCGCAAGAGGGACCGTCAGTGGGAGAAAGTCCCCATGATGCTGCTGATCAGGGACAGTGTGACCTTGACCTGGATTTTCCTCTGGGAAAAGGGGAGAGAGGACAAGATGATGCCCACATCTCCCTCCAGGGAATTGTCCATGGTTGAGGCATGTCCTGACTGTGGGAAGTGGATGGGAAAACAAACATATTCTCCATCTGAGGTGGAGGAGCCATTGGAGGGGTTTTGTTATTGAGGGCAAGCCAAGGCCCTTCTTGCCATGAGCACGGATGGCCCTTTTTTGCCATTAAGGATGCTGGCAGCCATCAGGCTGCAGAATGCACACGGTGGCTCTTGAGCAAACAGCGGTGTGTTTGTGGGATTGCAACAAACCCCTGTTTCAGAAACATTTTGTCCTCGCTGCCTTTCCACATCGGTACAAAACCTGTGCGGAGAAAGCTTCAGGGGGTCCAATAAATATGGGCAAAGGCATTGATTAGAAGAGGACAGCAGCAAACCAGTAACTTTCCACAGCAATTGCAGAGGTTAAAGCCCTGCCTACATGGGAATTACCGTTTCTATTATTATTCCACTAAAAACATCCTCATTTAACACCAGTGGAGTTGGAAATGTGTTAATAAATAGCACAAAGAGAAAGCAGGAGGAGGCAAGTGCCCCAGCATGGTGCTGGCATTCAGTACTCACAGTGTTTCTGTCTATAAATCTGTAGATTTACTCCTGCTCCCTGGTTAATTTATAGGTACAAATAATTATTTTTCCCCAAGCTACCTCTGATTGTGTAGGTGTGGTTTATTTTATTTGCAAATAAATCCCAATGGCACACGTACATTTAAGGCTTTCACAGGCTTTTGGCTCAATTTATGACTATCACAAAGTAGGGAAGATCCTTTATCTTTTTCATTCATCTTTGCAATAAACAGCAGTCCCAGCCTTCTGAATGCTGGCAGAAGAGATGTGCAAATAAAAGGTATGAAACAAGATAGAGGTTCTGTGATACCCTAATAAAACTGTCCTATAAACCTGCCCAATTTAAATATAAATTAAAAAATAGCCTCAAATCCTCCTACTATATTGTTTTGGTAAATGATACAGTAATTCTCTTCTGCATTAAACCCAGGGAGTCCATGTACACTCATAAATTACATTAAAGTGGATGAGAGGTTAAATATTAACCCTTTGTTTTCACCAGCAAACTGGGTCCTGACAGTGAAATGCTGGCATTTCAAAAGGCTTCCTGGTTTTCTGATGCTCAGCTCTATGCAAGTAGATGACCTGGCTCACTTGGAAAATCACACCCTGCTAATTTACTCAAGGTTAAACATGATCTCAGTAAGAACCTAAAAATAGTAGCCTGCTGTTTAATTTGGGTGTTAAGTATCTGGTCCACTCCTCATCCAGTGATGCTGTAGTGATCGAAAACCTGCCTGGTAATATTGTGCAAAACAATAGAAATCAAACGTTGTCCTCTGCAAACAGAGAAAATATGAGAGAACAGAGAGAAAATTTCCAAAATACCCAGACCCCACTAAGCTAGAGTCCTATTCTTAACCACAAATGAAGAGTAAAAGAGCAGATCTCCTTCTCATGAAGTTTAACCATGACAAGTGCAAGGTCCTACACCTGGGTCAGAGCAATCCCAAGCACAGCTACAGGCTGGGCAGAGAAGAGATTCAGAGCAGCCCTGCAGAGAAGGATTTGGGGGTGTTGGTCGATGAGAAAATGAACACGAGCTGGCTTCAGTGTGCGCTTGCAGCCCAGAAAGCCAACCGTATCCTGGGCTGCATCAAAAGGAGCTTGACCAGCAGGTCGAAGGAGGTGATCCTGCCCCTTTATTCTGCTCTCATGAGACCTCGTTTGGAGTATTCTGTGCAGTTCTGGTGCCCTCAACATAAAAAGGACATGGAACTGTTGAAACAAGTCCAGAGGAGGCCACGAGGATGATCAGGGGCTGGAGCACCTCCCGTATGAAGATTGGCTGAGAAAGTTGGGGCTGTTCAGCCTGGAGAAGAGAAGCTGCATGGAGACCTCATAGCAGCCTTCCAGTATCTGAAGGGGGGCTATAGGGATGCTGGGGATGGACTCTTCATTAGGGACTGTAGTGGTAGGACAAGGGGTAATGCGTTAAAACTTAAACAGGGGAAGTTTAGATTGGATATAAGGAGGAAATTCTTTCCTGTTAGGGTGGTGAGGCACTGGAATAGGTTGTCCAGGGAGGTTGTGAATGCTCCATCCCTGGCAGTGTTCAAGGCCAGGTTGGACAAGGCCTTGGGTGACATGGTTTAGAGCAAGGTGTCCCTGCCCATGGCAGGGGGGTTGGAACTTGGTGATCTTAAGGTCCTTTCCAACCCTAACTATTCTATGATTCTATGATTATAAATCTTAAATCCTGATCATAGTGGCATTTCAGGAGTTAAGAACGGCTTTGTGTTCAAGCAGGACTTGTCCTCTGCCCTCATTGCGACTTTAATGATTGTTTACTTGTAGTTATTAAAGCGAATTATTGATACAAAAAATGTAATTGGGATGGGAGTGTTCCCAAATTAGCTAATTTCCAGGAAATCTGGGAACTGGACTTTCCACAAGAGTGAAGTTGTGGTCCTTTTGTGCTCTCTCTGGCACCAGTGGAACCCGGATCCCATCTCAGTGCACAAGCCTGGAGGCGTAGCCCTCATGTGGGACAGTCCTGGTCCTTTCCAAAAGCAGGATCAAATTGAGTGTACAAACAAGACATCCTAAAAGACCCTACAGATGCTTTCCTCAACAACCTCTGCCCAGCTGCTTCAAGCCCATTTTGAACCTACAGGCTGACTGCACTGTGCTCCCAGGATCAGCTCATGCTAAGACCCTCACACAGACCCTACTGCCCTTACAGTCAGCCAGTTTAAAGCTAGCTCATGTGTTTGTTTCATACTGGTTTTTGTTTGCAGGACTTTTTCCTCCTACCATGCTGTGTAACACAGCTCCTCACCATTTCTTACCTACTAGATTTGTTTCCAAAACGGAAAAAGAACATGAAAAAAGAAAAGAAAGATCCAAATGTGTCACATCATGTCTTACAACACAGGAAGACTGGAAAAAAGTAACACTCTGGGTCCAAAATTCCAGTTTATCACTTAGTTTTGCAGGGGAACAGCAAGTTTCCAGTATTGCACATACACCCATTGAGCAGTAGGTCAGTGGCAGTGGGGAGCATATGAGGGTGACACAACCCTGCTCACCCCACCCCAGGTGTATTGTCACACACACAGGCTGGGAAAAGGATCATTTCCAGTTTCTTCTCCTCTGCTGTGAATAAACAATGCTATTACCACACCCTGGAAAGTCTGATTGCTATTATATGGGCTGGCTGGAAAACGGTGTGCCAGAGAAAGAGAGTGCCAAACCCTTGCATGCCAGTGCTGGGTCAATGGGTTATGTGCTGGGTAAGCGTGGATGTCACAGCTGTGATCTCCCAACATGAACTGGTGCATTTATATCCACCTAGCACTGCTCTATCCCAAGACCTGTCTTCCCTAATACTTCGCAATACTGTTTAATATTAATCTAGAACCACCCTAAAGCAAATATCTGTGTTCTTTTTGAGCACACAATTGTGCAAGAAAGTTTCTTTCACAGTCCTGCACACGTGCTTTGGATATAGCTCTGGTCAGCCAAGCGGATTTCTGCAAAGCAGTTGCTCAAGGTGCTTTAAAATCTTCCTTACTAAACACATGAGCAGTTTGTGCTCACACAACCTGGCTGTGCACTCATAAAGTGTTTCAAAGAATGTGGCTATGTGGAACTTGAGGTGAGTCATCTTCCATTGAGTGCAATCAATAATGAAGGCAGGAGCCAAGGGTTTATAACTTTTACCATAAAAACAATAAAAATCATGCTTCAGCTTAAAGAATGGGCTGATAATCAGATTTCAGCCTTCCCAAGCTGAGGAGCTTATTGTGTTGGCAGTTGGCTTTGTCCCCACCTAGAACTGACCAGATCAGCCTTGATTTGGTCTTTATTAATATGAGGGCTGGGTTTTTTTCTATCAATCATCTGCTCTATTTACTCCATTTGTTCTCAACTAAAGCAGCAGGCACTTTTGCTATATCCATGACTTATGCCAGATTCCAAGCCATCTTGTTCTCCAGGAAAACATATGGTCAGAACGCTGGAATGGTTTTTTTCATCACCAATGAAATCTTATGAATTACCAGAAATCAGCAAAAAATTTCCCCTTGGTTTCAGTGGGACCATGACTTCACCCCTTGGGTAGGGGGTGTTTAATTCCGTGGCATGGAAAGAAACTCTTAAGTTCCTTTCCAGTTCCCTCATCCTTTAGCTGTCAGTGGGTTGAAAAACAGCGCCCTGCTGGAAAACAGAAGAGTGAAGAGTGCTGAAATCATCATCCTGCACATCAGGGGGATGTACCACCTATGTCTGGTTGGGTCCCCACTTTGCTATCCACTCAGTGTACAAACACAGTCTCTGCCCAGAAAGCTTGGAGTAAGTAAAATAGTATTATTATCCATGGTACCCCACTATGCACACACTGAACGAGCACAGATCAGAAATGCTGGTAGGTCCCACATTTTCCCAGGGAAGCTGGCTCTAGGCAGGTAAGGCATAGGTTAATAGAAGTGGTTTTTCTCTTGCTTAGGATTAGGCACTGTAACACTTGATATTTCCTTTACTACATTGGAAGGGCACCTCCTGATAGTCACTGGTACCCAAATGCTCTACAAGGATCCACCTCCTTCTAATACAGCCAATGTGAAGTGCAACAAAAGGCATCTGACAGGACTGGATTAGTCCTTCAGTACTGGTGCTAACAGTGGCTCTATAGTTCTGTGATAGCTGCCATGAGGGTAACAGTACTGAAGGCTTTAACTCTGACTCAGGTCCCAGCTCACAGGACACAGGAGACAGACACTTTTGGGACTGCTGCCTGTAAGCCCTGTCCCATGGAGGAGCAGCTCTCATAGCATGGAACATCGTGTTCGGGCTAGACCTTGGCCAATGGGTTGCACCAAGCTACGTGAGCATCAGCCAAGTCAACCACTAAATGCATTCTGCAGTAGTCAATGGCTGGCATTTATGAAACCAAGTGTGGCAGGTTCATACTGAGATTGTCACAGCTAGCAGGTGTGTAGCAAGGAAATTGCTGTTGTGAAGAACTTAGAGACCAAATAGACCCTGAGGAAGCCCATCCCTTTCCAAATATGATAATATCCCAGAGATACCAGCATCCCAGGACAGGTGAATACCATCACAAAGCTCTCATTGAAACAGCTATATGAAAGGGAGAAAATGGATCCTTCAGAGGCAATAAGAAGAAGTCTCTCACTATGACACATGAGCATCATCTCTCTGGGCCAGGGCTGCTATGGCTCTCCACCATGCTCTGCAGTGGGAATAGGGCCAGAGACAGCAGCAGGCAGATTTAGAATGTCTTTTTATGCCTACCTTCTTTCTTCATGCCAGCTCTGAAGCATTTCTTCAGCCTGCAGTACCGGCACTGGTTCCTCTTGTCTTTGTCTATCACACACTGTCTGCTGAACCTGGGAGGAGATGAGAAATAAAACATGGAGCAACCAGCCTGTTGACTGCAACCCACTCACCCCTAGCAGCCCCAGTAAGAAATACAGTCCCAGACCTCACCAAACTATGCACTGGTTGAACCTAGAGAAGGTTCGTAAGAAATGGATTGAATCAGTGTTGGCTCGGCCCAGTTCCTCGTCTTCCCCACTATCACTCCTGCCAGCTGGGAGCAGAACAGTTTCAGACCACCCACCTTGCAACGACTGGGATGGTTTTGGCTGTGAAAGTGTGAATGTGACTCAAGTTGTACCGGAGTGGGAACTCCATCTCCCACTTTCAGACAGTTGTTGGGTGTTCAGCTTCAGGGATTGTTTGATCCCAGTTGTTAACACTGTCCTGCTTTGTATAGAACAATCACATTATGGGCCACAAGCCCTTTTTGTGTCTGCAGCTTAGTTTTCAGGCACATAGCTTCCTAATTCCTATTAATTTCAATGTAGGATTTAGGAACCTGTATGCTTTCAAGGTAGATTTGGCAGCTCTTTCCATGGTGGGTGAAATAATGGAAGAGAAATCTATCACACAGAGAAGAGACAACATTGGCTGCTCTGAGACCATCATCAGGTTGTAAAAGCTGAGGCACTTTCCCAGACTTGTAAACAGCCAAAGGTACAAAGGCCCAAAAACTTTCCAAGGAATTCACGTCTCCAATAAACAGCAGAGCTCTGAGCTGGGCTAAGTACAGCGCTGTACTTAGCCAAATAAGGATGTGCAGACAAATGAGCATTTACCATTTCCTTGGCTTCAGTGCTGTGGATCTTCCCTGAGCTGCCAAATATCACAGAGGTTCATGGGGAAGGGCAACAACTCCATCCCAGGAGAGTGAGAACTGAGATTTCAAAGAAACCAGTAGTACCTATCCCATCATCCTGCAGGGATGGTCCCTGGGATGGGCACCATGCGTGTGAACACTCCTGTCACCCCAGGGTGTCTCATGGCTGGAGTGATAAGGACCCCAGGAACATTTTGAACAAAGAGGGTGACTCATATGGCAAGAATTTGAAACGCCCTTAAAGGAGGAAGAGCTTTAGAAAAGAAAGAAAACTTCCAGGTTTTAATTCGAGATGAAGGGCTTGAGTGTATTCACTTTTTCCCTCCCCCCTTCCTCCTGTGTTAAAATAAACACATTTTTTCTAAGGTCAACCAAGATAGCTGCTTTATAATTTATAGCCTCCTCCTGGTAAAAAAATGCTCTCAGATGCGTACCAAGGTGGACATGAATCATCACCCATCCATGCTTGGTTCTCAGAATGATCGTAAAATCATCAGTGATACGTCAGAGTATAATAGCTCAATGCATTTCAGAACGAAAATGGAGCTGTATGAGAGGTGAAGCCTTTGGAGGTGACAGGTTCTTAGATGCTTGTTGCTTTTTACTGGGAAAATCAAGAAAGGCTGTGTTTGAGATGAAATCTCTGGAGCTTTGGTCCTTTGCCACCTTGGTTTTCCCTTGTTTGGCTGTGTTGAGGTGTCACTCCACACCCAGAATCCCTACTTACATATTATATACACTGGTCAAGCCTCAGGACTATAAGTTTCCCTTGATTTACACCATAGGGAAAGCAGTGGCAGTGATCTCAACAAATGGATTACTCAGTGCCAAAAAAGGTGTCAGGGTCCAAGATGAGATAGGACATAATTTACACCTTAGCTCCCTGTCCTCCAGCCATAAACTAAACTGCAGTGTTACTGTTAGCATTCACAGCATGGTAATAGGGTATTTGGGATAGGGATGCCACCATACAACCTGATCTTTACCACAAATAATTTACAGAAATAATAAATTGTATTTATTTATTGTGAAAAGGGGAGGTACCTGCAGGAATAGACGTGGTTCTTGCGGACACTCCTCCTGAAGAAGCCTTTGCAGCCATCACAGCTGGATGCTCCATAGTGTTTGCCGGTCGCTCGGTCCCCACAGATGGAGCACAGGGAGCTGATGCTGTTTGTGAGCAGGTTGGTATTTGCTGGCTCATTTGTGATGGTCTCTGAGCAGACAATAGAGACCATTAGACCTCTCTGTGATGGAAACCAGAGCCAGCTGCGATCAAGTTGCTTTTTTCAAGCAAAGCACATGCTGAGTCAGCCCCACACTCAGTATGCATTGCTAGTAAAGCCTCCAGATTGAGGGTGATGCTCTTCTCAACCTCAACTGAGAGTAACCCTGTTGCTTTGCCTCTGCTATTGGTTTTTTGCTTCAGCAGACAGAGAGGTTTCAAGCTGCATAACCCAACATGCTCATGCTAACTTAACAGTTACCACTACTTTTCTTGACAGCTGCAGAGAAACCTTACCTTACCTGGATGTGAGATATATGCTTTGGAGGGATGGGGAGCCACCTCCTCAGTCAGACACGTGAAAAACATAGTTCAAAGCTGGTGCCCACAGAAGGCAATGAAAAGAACATCATTAACTTGAATAAATGGAAAGCAGGCAAGAGACAGAAGGGGCAGGATTAAATACTTTGTGCAATTTGTGTACATGACAGAGGCATTGGAAGTAAAAGGCTGCTCTTGAGAGATCCTCTGCAGCTGGAAGACAGAGACAGCAGCTCACACAGGGACCACTTTGGTTCCCCTAAGTGTGGTTCCTGCTCTGAATTGCCCTCTAAAGAGGCCCATTGCTTTACACTGCAAAGCAATATAGGGGCGCAGGAAGACTGACCTTCTAAATTAGGGACCTAAAATTAGGTCATATGAATGCCCTCTGTCATGTCCTCTGTTTGCACCCTCTCATTTGGGGCAGGAATAGCTCTGCCCTTGCCTGCCCTGAGCTGTGTGTATACATTGCTCAAAACTCCCCTTTAAACTTCTCCCTTGGCCTTAACCACCAGGCTCGCTGCCCTCTTAATCCTCCTAATTTGAGGCACGGCTTGGGGAAGAAAAAATAAAGGAGATGCTTGAGGAGACGCAGATGACAGTGTTTACATCTCTCCAAGAGCAGGAATGTTTGTGGAGTCCGTCCTGACCTGGGCACTCACTGCAGAATGGCTTTATGAATTTATCACACCTCTGGGAGCGTGTTCTTTGCTCCAGGGGAGCGGATTTTGTACTACAGTGACCTCAGAAAAGTCTCTGGGACAAGATGCATCCTGCCTCGCGGAAGGGACGGGCAGTGATGAGAAAAGCTCAGCTGCTCTGGGATTGAGCAATGAGAAATCCTAGAGAAAATTACTCAAAGGGAAGGAATTGGCATCTGATCTGGACAGTCTAGAGAGATCTTTCTAATGCATAATGCATAAAAATAGCTCTGGGTAATCCGCACACAACTTGTATATATACAGAGAGAAGGGCTATTTCTGTGTATGAATACACATCAAAAATTTATAGTGAAAATATTTGCTGTGCAATGAAAATTGTAATCAAAAGCCAAAAAAAGCTTTAGCTTTTCAAAAACTGGAAAGGTTTTAGCTAAGGCTATGATATTTTTAGCTAAGGCTTCACAAACAAAGGTCAGACTTCCCTTCCTCCTCCCCCCAGAAGCCCCTTTTGATCTATATTTCACCTTCTAAAATACTGATGAATAAATATTTAGTTTTTAGCAAATTGGAAGCAATGTGACAAGAAAAAATGACAGCATCAAAATCATCCTTTGGTCATAATGACAGGAATTGAGTTTTACCTGTTCCCAAAATCCATGCAAGACACTCCCAACTCTGATATTTGTCAGGAAGTACCACTTGAGCCCGTTAAGAACATTGTCTGTGTCAGAGGTCCCTAATGGTAATTTACAATGATTTTGGGTTTTTTTTACAATAATCGTTCATTTAATTTTGATTTATATACCTCAGTATAAAATGAGTTGTACTAGAATATTCCTTCAAGGATAACTGTAACTTTAAACATTTGTGCATCTGTTGCTCCATCTATTTATTTTTGAAAGAACATGTTGACCACAAACAAAGGCACTGAATGTGCTGGATTCCATTTAAAAAATTCCACAACAAATAAACATAAGAATGCCAATTTTCTCTTCGCTCTACTCATGCTTTCTCTACTGATTCAGAGGAATCAATCCAAGACCATACAGTTTGGATCTCCAACGGACCTTTCATCCTTCACATGGGTCCAGACTGCAGAATGTTCCTGGTGCTGGAAAGCATCTGTTCACCAGAGAAGACTTCTTCCCCTCATGCTAGTAGGATATGCAAAGAGCTGCTTGTTGATATAAGGGAGAAATTAATTACCTGGCCTTAAAGTATTACTGGAGGAAGAACCATAAGAACTAGTGTGTGATGGGCCATGGAAGTTAGCAAATCACATTTTGCCTTCACTTGTACCCATGAAAACACAAAGAAACCCGTGGGCTACAGCTTAGTCTAATGGCAGATACATAGCTAAAAGTTCAGTCCCTATTAGGTAGTCATGTGCTCTTTTCAGCTTGAACATGAACAGAAGTTAAAAAGACAATGAAGAAAAGGAAAGCCCTAAGCCAGTATGTACATGTTAATTATTATTATAAAACTTAATTACAAAATCCTGTCACCAACTAATGGTGAGTTCCTAATTAGAATTAGCTCAGAGAATAACAAAGGCACAACCAATATCACACTCATCAGGAAACTGTTTCAAATCTGGGTTTCAAATCTAGCTTGTGTTTAGGGAATGTCTGGGTTTTCCCTGGACTGATCACTGCTGGGAAAGGCACAGGAAAACCAGGATCCCTGTCAGCACAGTTGTCTACCTGTGAAACCAGCTGAAAAAAACTCTGTAGACCAGTTCCTTTAGCCCTGACACAAGGCTCAGAACTTTATTAACGTGTTGCTACCTGAGCTCAGCACCACACTGAGATGGGATCTGAACAAAGGCCAACTAGCTCACAACTGAAACAAGCTCACAACTGTCTTCGCCACCCTGGAAAGAGATGCTCAAACATGTGTTGGTTATAGACGCTCATCACTGTGGTATAACAGAACAGTTCCTAAGCCATGCCACAGTGTCTTTGAAATTTCTCCTGGAGAAATTATGATGTTCTCCAAAAAGAAGCCATAACTCATCTTGACATTGCATGGGTCTCATGGTTTTAGTCAGACTCCTCATTAGGCATTGTCCTGGATATTCACTGACAGAAACCTCCGAAGTTTCAACCATCTTTTGTAAGTTACATATAAGCAGTCTTCAGTCAGACCCAATTCAGACCATGAAAAAGACATCAAAGATCTTTTTGACAGTGCCTGACCATCTCTCAAACTGCACACATGCCTGTGAGGAGCTATGACCCTGCTGGCTGGTCGTGTTACCATAGGATTTATGGACAATAAATCAAAGCTATGGTTTGTATCTCAACACCCCCCCCCCCAACCCCCCCCCCGCCCCATTATTTGCTAAAAGCTGATGTAGAAGTCAGGATGACCTGCACATTGCCAGGGCACTAGTGCCAGCCCCCAGCCAGCCCTACATTTGTGTGCACAGGTTTTGCAATGCCAACTTAGTGCTGATTAGAGTGTCCTAGTGGCTTACCGGCTTTGGGGTCAACCAAGCTTGCAATCAAAATACATACAAAGTTTTGGTACCCACTGCCTCTGTATGTAAGTCATTACCTAATCAGGGCTGAAATGAAGACACCAAATTTTACAGTGATAGGGGATGACAGTGAGGATGGTCTTAATGAAGATGCTGCTAGAGAACTGCATCTGGCTTCCATTCAGGACTGGAGATCTACATGTTACCTGACCTTGCTGCTGCTTTTCCTTTCAGTTATGTTACTGTATACATCTCTTCCAGATGCATATCGTATAGCAGAATTATCTTGCAATACTTTCCAGAATGGCTTTTGCTTTTATCTACCCAGAAACCCAAGCCAGTCTTGGTGTGCACAATCTGCAGCTGACAAGTCCCGCAGTTACATACTGGGCTAGAGCTTTTATAGATCATAAATGTGGGTTTAGGGCATGTACACACAGTCTAACTTGGTGGCCAAAGCCGGCATTGTGAAACCTGTGCATACAAATGTAAGGCAGGCTGGGAGCTAGCACTGATACCCTGGCCATCTGCAGGTCACCCTGGTTTCTACATCAGCTTTTAGCAAATAAAGGGGGATTTTTGAGATATAAACCCTAGTTTTGATTTGTTCACAAATCCTATGGTAACAATGACCACGAGGACAGCCAGAAGGGTCATAGCTCCTCACAAGCATGTGTGTAGCTTGAGGGATGGTCAGGCACTGTCAAAAGATCTTTCATGGCTTTTCCATGGTCTGAATTGGGTCTGACTGTAGCAGGGCTGGGAGAGGTGTTTCTCTAACCTTGTGCCAAAGCCCCAAGAATCAGTGTGGTATTTGAGTGCTGAGACAGCAGAACGAGCATCATCACGGGATAAAGTGTTCGCTGACAGTGTACTAAAGAATTAGTGCAATATTTCAGTAATGCTTCCTATTTTAAGCAAAATGACAACTCTGACAGAGCTTGAGGAAAGGGGTGTTAACAGCACATAAAAACCCAGTGAGAATACAGCTTCTAATGCCAGCCAAGGTAAAGGAAACAAGTTTGTACAGAAAGGGAAAATTTCTGCAGTTACAACACATATTTTATAAAGACAGGATCAGCATTGATTTTTGTTCATTTCCTTTTGACATTTTCTCTATTTAAAACAGACCATTTTTTATACTCTTCCTCCACTCCCATAATGAATTCTATTCTTTATTTTGAATTAGTCTCAAAATATTTGGGAAATTATGAGCTAGTTAAAGTGAAAAATCCAAAGTATATGTAGCCAAATCTCAAAATTATAGCAGCTTCCTGAAGCTTGAAGCTTATCATCAAAAGTGCTCCCCATCATTAATCAGCATAAAATTTTGATGAAATAGTATTCCAAAGAAAGAAACAGTTGGCTTTAAGAAATCTTGACTTTTTTTGAAAAGATTCTTATTTTCACTTTTAAAACTGTTCAGAATGAAAGAAACAGTTCTGAAGCCATTAAAATAAACATTATGCCCCTTCCTGATCATGTTTATAAAGGGCAAAGCTGCCATTAGATTTAGTATCAAAATAATACAGAGGAATCTTGAACAATAAGAAAGATATAGGTTAAAACGAACCTGTACATTTATTAAAAATACCTAAAATGGGACTGTTTCTTAATTCTAGCATTTTAAAAAATATTTCTGAAACTATGAGTTATCTGTGTGAATTTGAGTTACCTGTGGCAACTGAACTTGTCTGGTTAGCAATGTATTTCCATGCATGGGTATTTCAGGTCTTTTTTGAAGTTACTTTTACAAACTGCAGAAGAGGACACATACCTAAGACAAACAAGCTACTTTCAAAACAGCTAGGTTGTGAGAGGATTGGCTACTCATTAACAGCTAGACAAATAACACAATACTGAGGTAGATAAACTTCAGAAAAGAATCAACCTGTCAGTTCCACTGCATGAAACAACAGGGAGGCCCAGATGGGATTTGGTAGTTAATTTGCAAAATTATACTGAATTTTGGGGAGATTTGTGCCACTCTAGAAAGTAAAACAATATCCCTTTGTTCAGCAACAAGTGACAAAGAAAAACATCTGTGTTAAATAACATTGTTAAATAACATTTCTGGAGCAGGATGGCAAATGGAAACCTTTCTTCAAGAATAAGAAACAAGATCCAGTCTTTCTGGAGCTGTCAGAAAAACAATATATTAAAAATCCTTTTTTTGCGGACAGAGCAAGTTTTTCTTCAAGTCAACTTCAAATTCCCTTGGGCCTTCTAACTTTACTTGCCTCCTGACATCCCTTCATGCACCACAATAATAAGCCTAATCATTTTATATTATAGATAACAACCCCACTGAAACTCTGATTTATTTTGATGACACAGCTAATGAGCAAGTGTGAGACCCTGAAAATCCCATCTTAATTTCACTCAGATTCATAACAAATTAAATAAAATGCTGCCAAATTCACCAAAGGCATTGCTAATATTCGAATCTCATTTGGCTACATGATTGGTTTCATGCTATAAGACTGAATGTCCTTTATTTTTCACACAATGAGCCATTAATTTCATAGCACAGTGTTGTCAGAGTACTTTGACTATTCAAAACCTAAATATCACACATGGTTTATTTCTGTGAACATGCTTTATTTCTGTGAATAAAGCAAAAGTCTCTGCATATAAACACTCACTCCTCGCACCCAACTTCTTTGCTTGCTGTACAGGCTTTTAGACAACGTTGGTAGTCAGTGAAATATGTAAGACAAGTTACATTTGGATATCGCTTCTAAATCCAAGTACCTAGGAACAACTTAGGACAGGTGGTGTATTGCCTGAGTAACAGACAAATTCAATTTGAGAGCGTTTTTCCAAGGATTAAATATGAACCTAAGTCATATATAGCAATGAAACAAATATTTTAAGTAAAAAATATTGGTAATAACTCCTCTAACATGTCTTATGGGAGCAAACCTATGGCATGCCATGAAGAGCTCTACCAACTTTTGAAATACCTTGTGGGCCCTTCAGGACAAGATGCTCAGCCCACCAAGGAAAAGAATAATTCAAAATAGGACTGGCAAGTGAAAGGGTCCCCTTTCAGCCCAAACGTAACCGCAGATACAGCAGAAGTTGACAAGTCAGCCGCTTAAATATTATCCCTTTCACCCTTTGCCCCACACCTCCTACCTGACTTTCCTAGGTGCTCAGCTTTATAACAAAGGTAGTGGAGGCTGTTCAAGAGAAAGCAAAAAGAAACCTTACCGGTACTACTGGGGAGCATCCGAAGGCTGTCAAATTCCAGCATGGTATAAGAGGAGTCCAAGGAGTCTACGTAATCTGGCATATCCATGTCCATGATGGGCTGACAAAGCTTCATTATTACTTGTCAACAGCAAGCGAAGCAGCAAAAAACAGCCCGACTGTCAATCACGGCCAAGATTTCCTCTGCAAAGAGACACCCCAGCCCTTGCAATGACAAATCATTACCCAGCTCTGCCCGCAGTCCCCTCCCCGTGCCAGGAGAGAAGGGATGAAGCCGTTCCCTCTTGTGCTTACAGTCCCCTCCCTTCCCGGGGTGCATCTGTGCTCTTTCGGTCCTGATAATATGATATAGATAAGGCCTAGACTCAAGCGACTTGGATTGCATCTTTGGGTCAATACAGCCCATTTTATGGCTGTTCCTGCACAAACATTTTGAGAAGGGCTGCAAGAGGCACTCGTACACATGCGCTGTTCTTCCAGGGCAAAGCAGTGGTCATGTCTAATAATACCTGGGCCAGTGTCACCTTGCTCAGCTACCAGCCCTTGGGAAAAGACCAAACGATGCCAATTGCAACTGGTGAAGACAATGAGTCCCTGTCACAATTGGCTGAAGAGAGTCAAGGTTGAGAACCCGAGACAGACCCGTGTGACACCAAAGGTGCTGCCCACCAGTTCACACCTTGAGCTACTACTAGAGGGTAAAAATGAAGCTTCATTACAGCCACATAAGCAGAGAGGATGTGACTTATCCCACCCACCACCCACTGTCCCTGTCACCCATGTCTTCTCCTTCCTGACTCCAAGCAGCCCCAATTTCCCAGATTTCCCATTGAGAAAGGATTCTGTTTTGGTTGAGATGTTAGGGAAGACGGTTTCAAGCTATGGCAAACGGTGAAAATGGAAAAGACTGGAAGGAACCAGCCAGACTCCCTTGCAGATGTGTGGTGTTGCATTTCATGTTGACCCGTGCCTGGCTTTTCTGGAAAAGGCCTGTTATTATGGAAATACAATTCCAACTTTTACCCACAGGACTCTGGTGGTTTTCTTTTTAATTTACTGAATTTTGCACAGTTCTTTCCTTGTTAAGACTCATGAGCTGTACTGCAAAAGACTGGAAATAAAACACGGCCATGCAAAGTGATATGGCTTGAAGTACTTGGCTTATTCCTGGTTTCATCTTTCACATGCCTTCTCTGACATTACAGTTCCCTCTGCAGTGACGTTGGTTTGTGTCAGAGGGTCTTTCCTTTCCATGAGCTGTTCTGAGAGATCCAGTTCAACATCCTGTTGAATCTGGAGGAAAAAAAGAGTCTTGAGAAATAAGGAGACATGTTGCCAGAAAAGGAGCTTTGGCCAAAGGAAGAGGATTGCCAGACTGCCTGAACTCTCACTGAACCGAGAAGTTGGGCGGCCCCATGTATCCTAGCAATCTTCAAATAGCATGAAATACGCCAAAACAAAGTTTTGAAATGTCTTGGATATACTCATTTTTATTTCATCTCCATTTGACTTCTTTTTTTAATAGATTTTTTTCCATATCCTGGAGACTTACAGTGGCTATTGCAATGGGTTAACTCTACATAGGCTTTTATCCTATAAAGACTGGGTGCAGGAACACTTACCTTTATTTCCTTATCTTTTCTGAGGCATAAAATAATTTCATGTGCTATAGATATATTTTTTTCCTTCTTTCCTTTTTTAAGAACATGTTGTAACTAGTGGTGTACAAATGACTCCTTGGTTAGATAAGATGTTATGTTTTTATCCTTGGACTATGTCCCCAGGCTTTTGGTAATGCCAGCATCAGCTAAGTTGGTATCTGATTAGTCGTTCTTGCCTCTTACTCAATGTCAGTCCTGATTATGCCTATTAATCTGAAGCATTTTTTTTAACTGAGCTATAGGCAAAATCCTACCTGATTCTCAGCACTCTGTGACTATCACAGCTAAGACTCCTCCCTTCCTCCAGTCCCAGGGGAGTCTGTACAGGTTTCTCGCCTTCAAAATATTGGCATTCACTATGCTTTCGGGCAGCTGTGGTCCAGAGAGAAGGAATCTGTGCTCCTGAACTGATACCACTGGCTTTAGAGACCCCTCAATGTTCTTGATCTCTCAGTCCAAAGTGAAGATTAAGGCTTTTTTTCCAAAGAAAGATGGGTTCTGAGGATGTGCTTGGACAATTTTCATTCTGGGAATAAGAAAAGGTCATTGGGAATGAGAAGAGGGTTTTGAGAATAACAAAAGGTTATAGAGCAAAGTTTGTGGTTTAGAACCAGATTTCAACATCACACCCATATTGATAATCAGGACTGACTTGTTAGGGAAGGTGGCGTTGGAGTGATTCTATGCGGCATCTCTATCTATTTCAAACAGATGTCAGTGTGTCCTGTTCCAAACTATTCCAGCAGAAAAGCAGCCATGAAGAATACCAAAACTTGCTGAGGGTTGAACAGTTTCTTCTTTATCATCTCCCAGCTTTCTTACATTACTTTCTGAGTCACAGCTGCAAGTCAGCTGTGATCTATTCAAGGCTGGGACTGAATGTTATTAACATCATGAGAAGTCTAGCTCACTTTTAGGTGTCCTAATATCTGCTCGGCACTGTTCATTAACACAGTGAAGCAGACACCTGTCCCAGCCAAGAGCCAGAATTCCCTAGCTGTTTTATCACCTTGTGTAGGTGAATCACATACAGAGGTAATGGCATTTCTTGCAAAACACCTTGTTGCTTTTCCATTGAGGGGGCAGGACTTGGGGTGCCTCTCCTGCCTTTGGGTGTTTGGGCGTTGACTCATTTGCACAGGCAGCTTAGGTGTCTGGATAACCAAAGGCAAAACTGGAGGGTATAAGAGAGTTCCCAGTTTGCAAATTGATGTCAATCCTCTTCCATGTGGACATAATCCTCTTTTTAATATATCTTCTGTTTATTCCTTTTTTGACTCAGTGAGGCTGGATATAGCTGGAGGGTGCAGGCGAAAAGGGAGAAGGGAGAAAAAAAACAGGGTTATGTTTAATAAAAATAGTATGAATGTTCAAAGACAGTGCTCTGGGAATAAATCAATATGGTTTCTCATCTGTGCTGCAGAGAGGACAGAGGGCAGGCTCTGACGAAACACATGGTACCAATAAGACAACATGCTCATTCCTAGAAATCAAATTGGATGCTTTTGGGAGTACTTGTTAGACAAGATGAAGTACAGAAAAGATAAGAACTCTGATTAATTAAGAGAGAAAACAGATCACTGCAGGCAAGCCATCAAAACAACATTTCTTTGGCAAGGTAAGTGGTGGGAGAAGATGATCGCAAGTTGTGGCAGCTGCACATTGATCTCTGGAGGCTGGATTTCAAAGGAAAATAACTCTGTGTTGCATATGAGGAGAGGTGTCTGAGACACTAAAACCTAACTAAAGACTTGTTGCTACGCAAATGATGAGGCAAACTTAACCCACTAACTGTACTTTTGGCACAAAAGTTTTCCTCTTTTATTCTTAGAAGTACATTTAAAAGTCCTGCCACTGTTTTGGTGAATTTCTCCACCTCAAATGCATCAATAATTACACCCTTTCCTCAGCCTGAAGGGATTAGTGTTCCGGTGGCTCTCAGGTACCAGAAGCAGCAGTAGCCATGAAATTACCTAACTTGAGAGAGGGTGTCTGAATAAAACAATATTTGAGAGACAGAAGACAATATAGCTTTTTTTTCTGGGTGAGATATAATGAGAAACAGTATGCTTCTGAGATTATAAACAGTGTGAAATCATATGATTAGCATATAATTACAATGGCAGACATGACAAGTTTATCTAGACCAGATGTCTATTACATCAGTTCCCTCCTTCAATGGGGGTAGTTTTTTATGGCATGCACCACTGAATAATAACTGTGATTGATACAGTTAGCAGCAAAATCACTCTTTACATTTTCAGGTATTTGTTATTACAATGAGCATTACATATCCATAGTGCTGTGACTGTCAAAGCATAGTGAAGGCCTCCTTGTTTTTCCTGTTATCTTCTAAAAACATTTTTTCCATATACTGATTAGTCATAAAATAAAAATAGTGTATTTTAAACTCACCACATGTTTGAAAAACAAGACAGTCATCCAGGTACCTATTTGGAGTGTCAGTGTCATGACAGACTAAGCTGAAGGTGACAGGACTGACTATGGAGGATGCTGATGGGGTTTAAGGCTGACATTTGGCATCCTATGGTACTTGGAAACAGGTATATGGACCATCACCGGTTTCAGCCTCACCCACTCTCTGAATAGGTAGAAACCCAACAGAGGCAAATTACTCCATCAATAACATCAAAGCTGAACCACTTATTTATTCCAGTGCTGTGAAAGAGGCATATGAACAAGGAAAGGGAAATGAGATCCTGCTCCAGTCTTACCCCCTGCTCAATTTTCTACAGTACCCAGAAATTCCCTCCATCTCCAGCTGATACAATTCCTATTAAAACTATGTCAACTGACCAAGAAACGACGTGGCCTGCTAAAAAATGTTAGCCAAAACCATCAACACACTTTTGGGTTTGGTTTGGTGGCAGTTTTATATTGGCACTACTTTTATCCCCTGCTGGAAACCAATCCGTTAGTAGCTGTGCCTTAAAGACCTCCAGGTTTAACAGAGATGCTCTAGAGTCCAAACCCACCAAATATGGGGTTGTTTAGAGACAGAACAAATTTCTGAGCTAGTCACACCCTGAGGTGGTGAACAAAATCTAAGTAAGGACATTGCCTTTTCTCTGTGATGGCTTGACAGCATCTTCAGCAGCAGGATGGCATGAGCCATACAGCCTTTTTCAAATCCCTGTGATGGACATGACATGATGGACAATGATGTGATGGACATAGGGAAACATCACCCCTCATACAAAAGGATGGAAAGGAGGAAAGCAAAACATCAGGAGTTTCATTCCCTTTCTCTCCAAGCTGATTTTGCTTTTCTGCTGCCAACACATTTATTAAACATTTATTGATTTTGCTGTTAGATCAATTAGATTCAATCTTCCATAACAACCCTTTGGGGAAAACAGAAAGTTTAGCAAGCTCTAATCATTATGCTGAAAAAAAATTTCTTCAGGATTACAAAAATGCAACAAAAGAAAAAAACAAAACACCAGAAAACTTTTTCCAACAGGTTTGAATGGTGGATTCTGGTCTTTGCAAATT